ACAGCACAGATAACAGAGCTTCCTGCGCAGACCGCTTTTATGAGAATACACTGTTTTATAGAGGAGCAGAGCTGACAGATAAAGCCTGTAAAGATAAAGAATTTCATCCACCACGATCACTATAGTTGGTAACACTAAAGATGGAGAGCAGTAAAGTTTCACTGTTAAGGCAATGGAAAGCATAATGTTCTTGCTTTATTAAATGCTTGTTATGTTGTGCATATGTTTGTGACCCAACTGTCATGTTAATACGCTCTATGAAAGCAACCACAGCTAACAAAGTAATCCATGCTTTGACAATCGGTATGTCCTTTAGAGGAAAAGAAAAGATTAGACTTTTTGACTGGAGTGCTCAGCTTTTACAAAAAAAAAGTTATTTAGACAGCACCCCTGAAATCTGTTGAAATAATTGACAGTTGATCAGCATGACTTACCACAGCATGTTCTTTTGTTGGCAGATGTTTCATGTGTTTTACATATTAACTTGACCATCCTGCAATGAATGCTGTAAAATAAAAATACTTGCTTATTAAACAATAATATAATATTTTATGGCATTAGACTATGTAAGAAAAGCGCAAAACAAAGTAATTTCAGATTTAAACAATATTGAATAGATTTCTTTGATTCATTTAAAGTGGAAGTCTGAGGTATTATGCTATTTAGCTTTTTTTGCCAGTGCCAGTCGTATTCCTCGCTCTGTCACTCAATTTTTTTTATTCTTGATTATATTTTCACTTAACATTTGTGAATGCCTAAAGAACTGTTAATTTAACAGACATTTCAATAACGTAATTTTGTGTGATTTGCATGTTAGCTGTAAAATGTTGCATGCTGAGCACTTTACGTTCTTAGATAATACTAAAGGTGAAATATGCAAAAATGACCTGTCTTTTCATATTCTGCTTATCTGCATAGTAGTAGTATTGTTTTTTTTGTTCTTTTCTTTTATGTGGGCTGTAGCATGAGCACACGCAGAAAGCAGTTTAAAGAGAGCCTGGAGAGTTTAGTTTTAAGAGGGTCAGGTGAAAGGAAAGGGTTTATAGACTGTATTAAAAACTAAAATAAATAAAAGCTTCTAAGATCTTTCAATAATCATTAACTTTAAAAGTAAACGTTCTGAAGTATCTTTCAAATCTCTTTTTGACTGTTTAACTATACCGTATATCAAAACCAACTTGCCTTTTTATCCTTGTTAGAATTCCAAAGCTCAGGTCGGTGTAAAGGTAGTTGCTTTTTTATTTTGTCTTTAGGAGGCCTTTTTTTCTCATCAGTGCACCAACAGGAGTTTGCTGCTCACATACAAGTATTTATAATCCCGTATCTTAAAATAGAGTTTGTAAGAGTTTGTTATGGGTGTTGCATCTTAAATTGTGAAAACCTTTATTTTAATATACAGAATCACAATTTAACTGTCCCACTTTTTAATTGCAAACGGTGTCCAGTTCTGCAGAGGTTAATAAGTCTTGGAATAAAAATCACAGCAATTCCATAAAATTGTCCACGCTCAATCAAAACATTTTTGAATATGAAGATCTGTATTGGTCTTTCTTTTCAGTTTCATGTAGGCTTAAATGTAATACATACCGTAGGTCAGCAGTTAGTTTCTGTGGGGGAAAAAAAGCCTTTCTTTTCACTTCCGCCCAAGGAAGAGCTTAAGAAAGGTTGTATGTGAAGCCAATCTATCTCATTGGTTACTATGAGCACCTAAATGATCCTCTTACTTGAAAGAATCCTGAATGCTGTCTTCAATAGCTAGGTTGTGTCACCTGTTGTTCCAGACTCCCAGAACCATTTGTGTGGGAAATTGCCTTCATGTCTCAGGTCTAAATACACTTCTCTATAGTCTCCACTTGTGGCCTCTGGTTCTTGTTTCACTGTTATTTCTTAATAAAATGTGCAGCTGGTTGGCTTGGTTTTGTATGTTTTAAGTATTTGAATTGTGTCCCCATTTTGTCTTCTTTGATAAAGACTAAACAGATTCACTTATTTTAGTCTGTCAGCATTTAATATTCTCTTAAACCTGGATATGTAGGAATGTTTCTGGTCATTCTTTTCAAAATAATTCTCTAGAAGCAAATCTCTTTTGTTATATGGAGACCGGAATTGTACACTGTATTCTGAATGAGGTCTTGGTCTACTACATTGTATAATTGTTCTACAACTCTACCTGATTTTAAAGGATATTTTGAAGGTGTAATCTTACATTAAGTTGGCTTTTTTATTGTTATTCCACATTGTATTGAAAATGAATGTTATCTCTTCACATAAGCACCTAAGTCTTTTTCATAGTTTGCTTTTTGAAGACTTAAGTCAGTATCAGCATAACAAGATTTTCCTCAGTGGTCTGATGGAAATGATACTATAACTTCTGAAATGTTGCTTTTCAGTGAGAATGAAGCTTTATGGAGGGAAGTGGCAAGTCTGAGACAGAAACATGTCCAGCAGCAAAAAGTTGTGAACAAGGTAAAACAGCACTTAACATCTTTAGCTAAAGGATTCGTTTTGGTGTGAAAATAAATACAGTTCCATGAAATGAGTCTGGCAAATGGGTTTTACAGTGCCTCTTCATTGTGTTGAAATTACAGGCAACCCCTTTGTATAATATACACTTCAAGACTTTTGCAATTTAAATATGAAGAATTTATATATACTGTATATCTTTTTGTTCATTGTATTCGTGGAATGGAATTTCTAGCTAATCCTTTATTGTACATTGGTTGGAAACAACTTGTTTCCACTTGTTCCCCAGCTAAGCTGAAAATGTTCTTTTATTTCCACAGCTTATTCAGTTTTTAATTTCACTAGTACAGTCTAACAGAGTTTTGGGAATGAAAAGGAAAATGTAAGTATTTGGGATTTTATTTTGGTAAAAAAAATGTTTATTTTTATCTGAATAGCAGATCTCTTTATCTTCTTGAGAATCTTTTCTGGTAAAAGGAATACTTGGCTCATAATAGTACAGATTATAAAAGGACTATCAGACTTTTCAGCCATTCTTGTTTTGTGCTAGATTTGTTTAGTATTTAAATACTCACTTTTGTTTATAATTAGTCAATCGTGATACCTTATGTCTGAAGTTGCGATGCTAAAAGTTCAAAATTTCTGAAACGTCTTACTATGTTTCACCATCATTATTAAATAAATGTTACCTTTTGTTATTTGCAGTCCTCTCATGCTCAATGACAGCAGCTCAGCACATTCCATACCTAAGTACACTCGGCCGTATCCTCTAGAGCACTTACAGGCGTCTTCTACATTCACGGTGAGTGTACAGTTGAAACACTGATGGTGAAATGTGTATATATATGAGTTTATGTTTTTTTTATTAAGTCATGGTTACCTGCCTGTCTAAAATGCTCACCTTTATCGTAATTAGTACAGCTGTCAGTCTTAAACGTGTATGTGCTTGATAATAACTTCAGTATTGTAGGAAAGTCTATGCAGGTAAAATGTAGTGTACACTTTTGTCACATCTGTAATTTCCTATCAAGACTCTTCTCCAACGTCAACCATGGATTTATTTTAGTCTTCCATTACAAATAATAGATTTGATCCATGTTTGTCTTCAGAACTTTTTTTTTGTCTTTTTTTGTAGTCGTCTGCGCAGCCATATACAGGAGCAAATCTGTACTCTGCAGACTCACCTGTGAATTCTGGTCCCATAATCTCTGATGTTACTGATGTGGCTCAGTCTAGTCCTTCTGATACGGCAACTGAATGGTCAGAAGAAAGGTATGTACTGATATCCATATGCATCATATCTTTTTTGTCTTTTTGTAAGCGTAGAGATTCCTATTTCTTCCCTTAAAATACCCTTTTATTAGTTTTGTTGCATAAGTTACAATTTTTAATAAGTGAGTTTTGATTTTGCAGATGAGTGATTTTAAAAGCACAAAGGCTTACTTTTTTTTTTAGTTGGACACTGACTATTTGTTTATGACAGTTTTTTTTTTCCTGTGAGCCAAGTGTTAAATTACCACGGGGGTGTTCTGCTTCTGCCAACAGGACGAGCCCATTAGTTCATATAAAGGAGGAGCCCGATAGCCCTGTTCATAGTCCACAAGTTGAGGAGGTCAGCCCAGCCACTGTGGCTACAGATACCCCTTTGTCTCCCAGCACCTTCATTGACTCTATACTGCGAGACAGTGAAGCCAGCACAACTCAGCCCCCATCTGAGGAGAAGTGTCTCAGTGTTGCTTGCCTAGACAAGTAAGTTTTCAGACGAATGTGTCTGCCCTTTGAACGACATTGTTAAAAAAATGAAATTTTTGTGTGTATGTATAAATACAGAAGAACGTCAAATATCCAGAAGGTCAGAGTAGTGTAGATGCTCTGGTGAATTGATTTGTCCAAAAATTAGAGGTTGGGTTTTAAAGTGAAACATGGGACATGCATCCATTTTCTAACTGCTTCTTCCAAGTCAGGGTCACAGGGAACTTGGAGCCTATTGCACCAAGCAGCGGGCACAAGGCAGGCTACACTCTGGACAGGACGCCAGTCCATTGCAGGGCAGACCCACAGACACGCACACACTCACATCTTAGGCCAGTTTTCCCAGATGCACTAATTAATCTGCCAGTATGTTTTGGGGGCTATGGGAGGAAACCAAGACCACTCCTTCACACAGACTGTACTGGAGTAATTGAGAGCAGAGGAGGGGAAACATTATTGACTGACAACTTCCCAGCCAGTTGTAGATCTCCTCGTCAGTGTCAGGAGTTGGCTTGCCTGAGGCTCAGACCTGTGATTTAAGAGCACAGCCTGTCCTCAGGCAATTGCTTTTATCAATAAAGCCACTCAGGAGTCCCCTACTTATACTTTTAAGTTACACAGCAATGTATGAGGTGGTCTCTCCAAGCCACATAGATGTGTTGACTGTCTCTAATACAGTGATATATATTTTTAACTGCAATCAGTGTCATTTCAACATTTAGGTTAGGTTAATGAATTTAATAGTTTTTTCAAACAAGTGAGCAGAAACCTTTTTCTTTTACCTGATGCATTTTCATGAACTAATATTTTAAATACTCACTCATAGGGCAATTATATTTTAAACCAAAAAATACTTATGTTTTGACAGAAAGAAATACTTAAATACAGAACTTTCCACTGTGCATGAATAATGTTATTATTAATACTGAAAATAGCACAAATTACTATGACATGTTACAAGAAGAAGCTACTGAAGATCTTAACTCCTGTTCATGAAATTGGAATCTAGAGATTGCTTATGTTATACATTCATTGATCCTTCTCTCATTGAAATGCTCCATGATTAACACTTGTATGCCTCCATTATTATATCATTCCTCTGTATCTGCAGATTGTGGTCACAATGGAAAAGCAAAGTACTGCTGAGTAAATTGCCACAAATTGTAATTTGTCTGTATCTGAGTTGATCTGGTTGTTTTTCTTTCTGGCATTATGTAAGACATTATTGCCGAGCGTACAGTTCTGTGAAAAAGTGTTTGTACCCTTTCAGATTTTCTGATATTCAGGGTGGTCTAAGTGATACATAAACAGTCTGTGTGAGTAAATAGCACTAAAGTTTGGTGCTTGTCTCATTTATTTCTTAACCAAAGTCATCAGATTGCCAGTGAGGAATACAAGCAGAGGAGATGGCCTTGAGTGGCACAACCCTATCACTTCAATCTGCCATCATTTCAGTCTTTTCTCTTGCTATCTCTACCTCTTCCTATCGCTGTATACCTTTATAAATAGTGTCAAACATGCGGGCTGGCTGATCTGTTCTAGACAGTTCCATGTTCAGACCTTCATAAGACATCTGTCTCCACTTAGCTGGGGATAGCTTATCTGATTAGATGGTCCCCTGAGTTGAGTAAGCACGTCGGTGATCTTATCCTGCTCTCAAAACTCCAATTACACTTGTGCCAGAGCAGCTGAGAAGCAAATAAAATAATCAGTTTACTCATCAAAGATATACACATCACAAGATTGTGAGTACCCTTTGTTTAGACCCATTAAACTCCTGGATAATCAACTTCCTTCTGTATGTACTCTATATGTACTTTGTACTTCTTTTGTGTGCAAGTCTACTTACAGCTTCTTGCTTCAGACTTATAAAGCAGCTGTTGTAATGAACTGGAGTGTTATAGGAGTAATGTATAAGATGTTCAAGTGAGTAGCTGTGTCAGTGTGTGGTGACTGCGAAGGAACAAGTAAAGGTTCATTCTGTTCTGAAAAACAGAAAGAAGAAATGCAACATTTCAGCTGTTAAGCTTCCCCATACCAGAAAACAGCACAGCAGCAAAATCGATGTGTTTCTCCTTCCTAATGTATAAGTGCATATTTTAAAAATAAGGTACTGTATAATTACCTAAATGTCAAGAGCCCTGTCCTCAACACCTGCATTTTGTCCCTTGTGAGCTAATAAATATGATTCTTGAAAGTGTGATGTTAGAACATCACCTTCTTACACTCTGTCAGATGTATTAGTCTATTCCTAGTACGTTGTTGTGCTTGTATCTTTCAGTTCTCCACAGATGTCAGAGGTCTCTTGTGTTTTCCCCAGTCCTTCCTCTCTTCATCCCAGAACACAGCAAGGGTTAGCATTTCTGTGGCCAATGCTGTCCCCAGATTACTTAAGAAACTGTGCTTGATGACTAAGAGCCTCTTTAAACGTGTTATGGTGTCAGACCATAAAAAAAAAAATTATTGTCAAACGAAATTTCTGGTCACCTTTGACGCTAAATTCTTTGAAAAATTAGTAGCTGCTGATTTTTTTTGACATATTGAGGCATAAGTAGTACATTCCTGTCACAGTTTTTATTATCTGGGGACAGACCAATGTGTATTATAGCTGTCTGTCAAGCTGCTTCTGGTGTGAACTGCCAATATAAAGATATTGGATTTGGAGTAGATGGGCAACTAGTCTGTCTCCAAAATAAATTTCTTGCATACTTGGCAGTTTTTTCTGTATACTTAGGGCAGCTTAGGTATGTTAAGTAAATACGAAAATTCTCTGCTTAATATTTTCTTTTCTATTTTCACTGTCCTTTCTTCATCTGTTAGAAATATATGCTGATGAAATTCATCTTTGGAATACATTCGTGCCAGAATGAATTTAGACTAATGTATTGCAAGAGGTCAAGAATTTAATCTGCTGGGTTTGCTTTTGGGTAGTCAATATGGTTATGTTTTTAACTTGACATCTGTGTAGTAGAATAGGCATTGTAACAGATCTAAAACTCTAAATGTATGCAATACCCCAGTGACATGTAAATCCTTTAAAACTTAAAATTACAGTTAATCATTATTTTAATCTTATTGTTAGCTACTGTATTTAGAGAAGGTGAAAGTGTATGAACTGTGTGCTTCCTGTTAAACAAAAAAGTAATCAAGTTTAAATTATAGCTCTCCAGATGTTCTCCAGAACTTAATTTAGTGCTTTAAGATTAACTTCATGTGAAGAGTTGTCTGCACAAGAATTTCTTATTACTCAGATGTGAGTTTCTTTGATGTTTTGCAGTGAGACATATAACTTGCATAAATGATAACTTTTAAACTGTGATGTTGTATTTGTTACTTAGTTCTTGAGCTAGGCTAACAAATTCACTTATCAGTACCACCTTGCTGGGAAGAGCAGAGTAATACTGTGTGAAAAGTTCTGTGTCCATAGATGATACTTTGACATGAAATTCCCCATAATTTAACTGGTTACTAGTGGGTATTGCTTGTTACTGGTCTTTGTGATTTTCATTTTTCATTTGTTACAAATCTAGTTCCTTTAAATTGTATTAAATGTTAGCCAACAGTGGGTTTCCCAAGCACGATTGGCAGAACCCAGCTGAGGTAGGGCTCGAATTTGTGTGTGAAGTCTCTCTTGGATTTCCATCAAACTGTGACTCCCATGAGTTTCTCAGTAGCTGCAGGCTTGCAGTGATGCTGGCGAGAGATGGCTTCTCCCATCGGTGTCATCATCGGTGCTGTGGTGCTTGCAGACTGTCAGATGATGAATGTTTCTGCAGGAGGGCATGTCAGAGGAGCTTGTCCACACATCTCGTTCAGCAGGGCACAGGAGATCTTATCAAAGAGCCAGATCTTCAAACAATTGGAGATTGTAAATTGGGTTGGCTATGTGAAAGAATCTGGCTTCCATAATAACATTAGAGAATGTTGTCAATGAGGAGAAATTCCAAATTTCAAATAGGAACGCGTGTTTTAGTGTTGCTTTCAGGTTCTTCTTAGAATTGGGTACTTCTTTCTTTGGGTTTTCAGGCTAATGTACTACTTGAGTAACAAGAAATGCAATGAAATTACACTTTATGTTGATGCCTGACCATCTAATAAGATCTTTTAAACAAAAATCAAAACAATGTAAGTATTTTAGCCAGGTTTTAGAAATGTTTCTGCACATGGCTAACCTTATTATTTTCATTTTAGGAATGAACTAAATGATCACGTTGATAACATTGACACCAGTTTGGAGAACCTGCAGACAATCTTAAATGGGCAATCCATCAATTTTGATTCTTCACCACTTTTCGATGTAAGCGTTTTTTTAGTTTTTTTAAAATTAGTTCGCATTCTTAAGGAACTTTAGCTTAACTGTACTGAAAGAAACAGGTGTACGACATAATGTGCCCAAAAAACATGGCATTGCACTTTTGTGTATCACAGTAAATACATGCATTTAATATGTTCTTGGTCCGTTGCGGTGGATTTCTGGGAATTACTTTAATTTCCAAGCGCTTATTTTAGTAAGTTTAAAAATCACTAGCTATTTCTTTAAAGACTAGTGTTGAATTAAATTATATGCGGCAGATTAATGTTAGCTTTTTATGGACAGTTTATCTAATGACTTGCTTTCCATGTAAGTATAACCAAAATTGTTAAAAGAATTCTGAAGTCTTCTGGAAATGTGTTGCATAATACATCTACAAGTAAATGACTGTTTATGTCCATTCGCAGTTCTTCAACTCCTCAATGTCAACTCCTGATTTTAATCTGCCCGATTTGGACACCAGCCTTGCAAGTGTAAGTGTGGTCTTAAATTCTACGTTGTTCAATGTTTGTTCTTCCAAACGTTTGCAGTACAGCCCTTCTTTTTAATGACAAGCTCTGCGTTGGATCCGTTTTGCTTTTCATTTGGGATTTTTGTTTTGCACTGAACAATTTTCTCGCTTGTTCTTAAAGATCCAGGACTTGCTAACACAAGATCAAAAGGCCACGGAAACGACTGAACCCTCCACTGACGCTGGTGAGTAAGCTCAAGCCCCTCGTGTTGCTGTAGCCCCAAACTTGAAATGTTCTCCTTCAATATCATTTGTCTGACGCTGTATTTTTCACAGAACCTAGCTAAAAACTGTATGTCTTACCCATGTCTTAATGTGTTCTTCAGGGAAGCAGCTGGTTCAGTACACAGCCCAGCCCGTGCTCCTGGTTGACCCCAGCAATGCCGAGATCACAAGTGGAGAGCTGCCTATCCTCTTTGCCCTGGAGAACGACTTTGGCACTGGAGAAGAGGGAGAGGACCCCACCATTTCCCTCCTTTCAAACGACTACCAACAGAAACCCGAGGACCCCACGTCTTCTTAAGATTTGTCGTTTTTACGAAGGGCCGTAACGCACGGCGGTTGTTCCCCCCCCCCGTTTTCTCCAAGGGCGCGTGGATGGCTTGTTTCGGATTTTGGCGACGGCGCTTCCACTTTGAGATGTCTTCGAGAGAAAATCGCCATTCTTTTTTTTCTGCCAACTGTCTCATGAGTATTATAACCGGTCACGTCTCTGCTGGCAACGTCAGCAGTTTGATCTCACAACAGGCTTGCTTTGTACTTTTAAAATGCTACAAATAGGATCTGTTGGGCACTTTTGCTTTACTTACAGCACAGAAGAGCGCGTCTCACTTCTAATAGTACTTTAGTAGTTCATAAAATATTGTCTTTTTAAAGAATGTTAAGCTCTAGAACATTAATAGAAAAAACGAAGGGTGTATTATTATTTTTTTAATGCAGTAGGTTGTGTTTGTGCGTTTAAAGGACTTAAATGCACTATAATTAGGAAATCTGATCAAATGGAAGAATTTCTAAGAAAATATTTCCGTTGTAGTGGCCCTTCCTAATTAGATGGTCAAATGAAACACTACCTTTACATTTATGAGAATCCTATTCGAAGGAAAAAAAAAATAGATCCTCTAATCTCTGTTGTTTTAAGTACATGGATGAGGAAAAAAATCAGACTCGGAGAAAATCAAAAGTAGACGCGTATCTGTCGTACCTCGCTATAGTTCTTTACAATTTCAGTAAAAATCTGTGCCTGTTGGAGACTAAATCAGAAATATCGTGTTGCTGGCCTTCTGGATAGCCGCGCGGATCAGTTCTGTTTTTTCTACTGTATTTGAATAAGTTGGGGTTTTTGTATTTACTTTTATGTATTATTGTATGTTTCATGAGTTGCCCTGGATAAGGGTGTTTGCTAAACAAATAATAATTCAAACCCTGATTACATGGCTCCATGATCTGCCTAAAAATCCTATTTGAAACATTTGTTTAAATTGAGATTATATAAATGTAAAATACTACATAGAACACAAAATACGTTTGGCTCTGAACACCAATTGAATGGGGATTAATGACATTATGACATTTATGACAAACTGTTCATAACTTTTTTTTCTTTTTAAAAATGGCCTTTTCTAGCAATAGTTTATTGGTCTAAAAAATCTGGTTTTGTACATAGCAGAAAGAGATATGTTGTTTGCTGAGGTCGTGCAACGTTTGAATGTATATATGTACAGTATATATGCATACATTTACAAAGTGGGTAAAAGTTTTGGGACTTGTAAATGTTTTCTGATTTGTGCTGGTTTTTTTTCTTACTATCAGTGTGTAAAGTAGACAGATATTTTCTTATTCATATCTGGAAAAGAAGGGAGCTGAGTAGGATTACTGGCAATTAATACTTTATCCCCAGTCATTTGTCATTGTAGCTTGAGTTCACACTGCTGTTCTGAAATGGCAGTCTCGATATTAAATAGTGAAGATGTCTAAATGGGGAAGAACAGCTAACCTGTGACCTATATACCAGTGCTTGAAGCTGAAAGAGTTTATATATAATCACCTATATACTACCCAACTGTTGCTAGGATATCGCTGAGCATAAGCAAACTCACCAGTTTCTTTTAATGTTCACGACATTTTTTTACACAATTTCAATTGAGGGAATAGAAATGTCATTTTCTGCCAATACTAGAGATTCCATTGGGACTTTATGATCGTTAAATGGTACAGAAAACCAGTCAGTTGGGAAATGACGGTCTATGAATATTCTCTTCGTTGGAAGTCTTTAATCCCTAACAAAAGTTGAGTTGTATGCGTGCAACCGTGTAAATGCATGTGCGTAGCACTTTGCTCTCTGAGATTGTGCTACAATTGTTTTATTTTAAAATGATAAAAAGCTGTGCACAAAGTGGTTAAGCTTTTAAATTTTGGTTACAAGAAACTAAACTGTATTTGTTTGTGCTTTATGCTTTTCCATTGTTATTTGTATATTTACACTTTAATTTAATAGTGAAATTGTATTTTTGAATTTTACATAAAATACCCACTTCATACACTTAAATATTTGTGGTTCAGAGTTTTATTTTTGTAATACGATTCTGTTGTGACCTAAGCTTATGGTTATGTTATTAGAACTGTTTAAAATACAATTTCACTTTAAAATCATAAAGTACCGTTTTTAAGAAGATTCCTAGAAATTTATTGCCCACAGTTTGTGACAGTGGGTAACTCAAAATTAAAACATTTAACAACAAATACTTTCCATTGACTAATTGTTCAAATTTGTTTAATTCTGTTGACAGTTTCCTTTAAAATATCAAACACAGTGTTTTAAATCATTTAAGTTTAATTGATCTATCACCTTGTCCAGATATGTCTTACATTAAATGACACTCTGAACTTTGTTCTGCAGATTTCCGAATTGATAACATAAATAAAGGCTAAGCTTAACCATAAAGCACTGAAATTAAAAACCCATGCCTGACTATTTAAACATTTTAAGTGCAGTTGTAAATCTATATGTGTGCTCATATGGTGAAAGTGAAATAAACTTATTAGAATTTGTATTAAACCATATGTAATTCAGAATATTACAAATAGTTTTGTTTAACTGTTAGTGAGCAATAAATGCCTAAAAAGATTAAGGAAAACACATGTATTTACATTGAATTTTTAATAGAAGTTAGTTTTGTTTACCACCTAAGATTTACAAGTTATTTTTTAGATTTATTTATATTCACAAGTTTTTTTTTCCATCTGATAAGACATGCTCTGATAGGAACACACGAGACACATCTTTGTTACCGACTTGAACTTCAGATTAAATTAATTGTTCATACTGTGGTTCAAGTCCATTTAAAATTTAAAAATAATAATAAAATTTAAAAATAATTTTTTTCTGTGATGATTTTTGGTATGATTTCTGTGATAGAGGATTTCAGACAGTAGAAGTTAAATGGAAGTGCTTAAGATTTTTGAAACAAAATGATACACTACGTAGAACTATTTTGCTTAGGCTACTGAGGAAACATTTTCTTCTGTATTTTATTTCATATTCATAGAAGGTTCCCAATCAACATTATGAGACATTACCAAATCACAGTAACATTCAAATTAGTAAACCCTTTGCCGGGATTAATTTACAAACTACAGATGTGGTCCTTAGTTCATATTTATTACTCTATTAATTTGCACTTTAACCAAGTTAAACCAGCATGCACAAAACTGCATAAATCACAAGATCTGAATTGAGTGTAACACTCTTTGTTAAGGAAAACTTCCAAGATTGTTCTTCCTTTAATTAACCGAGTATGATATAGTTTCTTTTGATAGATCTTTTTTCATTATTATATCACAGCCGGCCTTTCTGTATACTTAGATGTGGAAAATACATTTGGTGGGTTTCATAAGTCAAGGTCCTCCCTGAGGTGATCGTTTGAATGGTTTTGTTTCTACTGAAAAGTTTACCACCTTGAACTGTCTAAGCTCTTTATTCAAAACCTAATGTTAATACATGCTGCCTTCTGTAAAAAATGTACTTTTCCCTCAGGTTCATGTGAGGAAAAAGGGGAAATTTGTGTTTTATGGATCTGTTTTTCATGTTGTGCTTAAAGCAGTGACGTCTAGTTATATTGGTGGCCTGTTACTGCTGAACTAACCCATGTCCTCAGACTGCATACACAGCATTTTAGAAAGTAGTATTTGTGGTTGGACCATTAAGTTCACAAGACCCGTTTTTCAGTATGCTGAAGTAACAGTGTTTAGTTGCGAACACTCTGGTGCCCCAGCTACAATCCTTAGTCATTATTTGTCTTCCATGGTCAGGTCAAATACTGGAGAGGAACTATTTGAATGATGTCTGCTTCTTCTATCGCCAGTTCAAGATTCAGATCCTAGAAAACCAACTGAATCCCTGAGGTGTTTGTTAGCACTTCTACATATATGGATTTGAAATATACTGTACATGAGATTCATTTAAACTTGTTTTTCGGCATTCCCAAAGTAAAGTCTGTAGGCTTTAGTACCTGGCTGCACAAATATTTCTGATGGTCAGGTTGGCTTTTTTTTTGTAAATACATCGGAGACCGTTCTAACAGTTCTGCCTTTGAACCAAAAATGTATTTTTTTCCTGCAAATTCCTTTTTCTCTGTTCGCAAACAGAAAGAACCGTGTCAGAAGTGTCATCTTCAGTCAGTCTTTTTTTTTTCTTTCACAGTCAAGTATGTTTAAGGAATGTGGTCAATGAATTATGTTCCACCCACTAAAGGACACGAGCAGAGAAATTTGATGTTTTAAATTAAATAAAGCAGTAGAAAATCAAGAACAAAATCTGGGTATTAGAACGAAGCTGGTCATACAATTAATATAATATTTAGCAATTAACGAAATGCATATGTAATTTTAATAAGACAACTAAAAAGTATATTACTTCTCTAGGAGCTACATTAGACCTAAAAGATGTTTGAAATCTAAAAATGATCTTTATAGATGTTCTGTGATAATAGCCATTGGTTTTAATTTAGGTTTAACTTACAAGAACACTTTTTGGGGGGGCAGTTTCCTTTCTTGTGGCTAAAGCGACTTAACACATAGCATTTCTCTGTTTAACGATTTCAAAGTTGGTTATTGTAGCAGTGAGGCATCAAGGCAGGCTTTGGAAGTGAACAAAAAGATTCTAATGCCTGTATAAAAGCCATTGACGTTGTCGACATTTCCTAAGAGAGAGTACTGTTCTTTGCGTTTTGTTTCACACCAGTACGTCCAATACCAGACTAATAATCACATTTTCCATTTGCTTTTTCCACTCACATGGAAAAAACTAAATTGTGGCCTACCTCCACTATTACCCCGTTCCTTATTTGCTGTACTGAATTATCGCATTTCATTGTGATGAAGCAGAGGATCTAAGAAACTGTTCAGTTGTTTGGTTAGATCCAAATGAATGCAATAGAGAGATGACAGCCCAGCCATGAGGATAAGACTGCCCAAACTCCCTCTATTGCAAGGAGTGATCTACAACAGGGAGTTGCTGAAAGTGTGTAGAGAAGTATATATGCTGTATATTCATAGGAGAGCAGTAGTGGGCAAGATTAGGATCTTACCTTCTTCCCAAACCTCTGTTATAAACTCCATTAATTGGGGGTTGAGCTGTGATGTGTTAGTTAACAAACACTGTTCAAAGCTTCAGCAAAAAGATGGCAACTTTATTTAAAATGACTGTATTAGGTCCACACTATTAGTTTAAAGAAAACACAAAAGAGTTAAGGAAACCCTGAATAATGATTACTTTTAAAATGTGACCCTAATTTTATCTGGTTATTTCATCTCCCTGTTCCCATTCCTTTCTGGCCTTCATCCCTGTCCAGCTTTCACTAAATAACATCCTGAAGCAGTAGAGCACAGCTCCATGTTTAGCAATACAGTTTGTAAAAATGTCTCTCTTTGGTTTTCCAATGAACATGTTCTTGTTTGGTTTTCCAATAAACAAAGGCAGCTATAAGTATTCCACAGATCCAGATTTATGATAGAAGTATACAAAGAAGGTTTGTTGTTGTATCTTTTACTGCAAAAGATAAAGAGGGGTTCTACAATAACAAATAAACTATGTATGCTACTATTTATTCATAAATAAATGGCTATATATGTAACTGGATTGCTCTGTTTTTTTATTAATTGCCTGTTTTTTTATTAGATAGCTTGTTTTTATCGTACTTTTCGATGTAACACTACAAAGGTGACAGTTTCACATAGCTTTTTAAACCAATCTGAACCAGGTTGCCCTAATCCATTTCATTTCAGCAAATTCTAAAATAATCACTTTTTAGTCAGTTTTCATCTTTAGCACCAATTTATTAGCCAGCAGATCAAAATATATATTATTAAATATTTTGCCTTTGCAATCTGAAACAAAAAAATTCAGCTTAATATTACTGAATCCACTTTTATAAAGTAAGGCAAATGGAGAAATTTGCATTGTGTTGAAATGTTAATATGAACGTAGATAATAAACTAGCTTTATTGATTTTACTTTTTCATTTAAAATAATGTTGGTAAAATTTCTTATAACTAATTTATGGCATGACAAGGAAAATATAGAAAAATACTCGGTCATAAGATGTCGATTGTATTAAAAAGGAACATTTTTGCACACACAAAATTCTGAAAAAATCATTTTTTAACTACAAAAATTAGTGATCAGAAGCATCACTAAAGTTGATGTTCCAAATAGTTTATTTTAATGTAAAGAATGCTTTCAAAGGACATATATCTGTCAATTTACAGTTTAGTACATTGTTAATCAGATCCTTCAGATATTTGCTAACAAAACTAACACTGCACTTGTGCACATTACAAAATAATAATAAAGCTTTAATAGTTTGTTTAACATTGTCATTTTTTTTACAAAATTTGCTAGGTTCCAAGGGGATGAGGGCTTCTTATGTTTTAAATACCACAATTGTTTCCTAAAACTGCCAATATTTGATTATCCAGTTGTCTTTTTTTATTAGACCTCATGCAAGATAAAACAAAAAATGAATATAAAAGATAACATTGTAACTTGGCTCTTTTTTAAATAGGTTCAAAAATTATATTATTAAACAGTTGGGTCACCACTGTCTTTCTTCCAGTCGGTTTGCTCTGTACACTCAAGGCTGTAGCGTAGGATCTTGACACGAGGTTTAATATGGAAATCAGCAGGTATCCTCCAATTCCACATTTTCTGCACCTTCAGCAGTTGGAGAAAAAAAACAAGTCATATTAAGTGTGATTCACTTCTTGTGCCAATATTCACAAGAAAGCTGTATATATTCTGAGTAGTAGCGTTTCACCTCTGTAGTGAATAAAGATGTTGAGACTTTGCAGTATTTAAGAATTTGCTTCAGAGGTGCAGATTTAAATGGCCTGTAATATGCCAAATTACGACTACAGAGTGGTCTTAATTCCTGCAACAACAGTATTTTTATCTACTGTATGTTCTGGCTTACCGATGTTGAGAGCTCGGAAGTTTCATTCAGTAATCATCTGCTCAATCTAATATTAACCTTTAGCTCTTGTTTCCCCCCAAAAGTTCAAAAAAAGTGTTGAACAAAGGAAAGGTTTCAGATCTGTGCCAAGGTCTACTGGAGTTACTTAAATTGTCTTACTTTCTAACTTGTTTAATCAACATGCACAAGAATTGGAAATATTTTCTCCGTGGAATATGATATGTAGGTTTTTGCTGCTCACAACTATGGAGTAATTAATGATTTTATGATCCAACTTGCTCTTTTGACATCTAATAATCTGCAGATATAGACTGATTATAGGACGTGTCTAGTCCCATCTCATCCTTGTCTAGTAATAGTGTTCTGCTTTTCAAGCAATACACAAGTGCAGCTTTACATAAGTCTACACATAGTCCATGAGAACAGAAACATTAAATACGAAAAGGGAAGAGATGAATTTCCCAGTAACCCACCTTCAGGACCCTGACCAGAGGTGATGTACTGTTCACCAGTGGAAACTGGAAAAAGCAGGCAAAATCAAGAAAAGAAAAGAGCTCTTGAGCAACTACTCGGGTTTCAACACACCATGACATATGTGCACACAATTGCCGGATTAAACATTATAACTTAGTCTAAATGGTTTTAAATGGAAAACAGTTGCCTGAAGTGTGACTGCTGTGCAATATCCAATGGTCAGAATCAACTGGCAATGGTGTTTACTACCGTAGGGTCTTGACATTCAGGAGAGTTGGGTGCAGAGAACCATTGCAAATAGCCAACTGCGCATATAAGTCCATCCCAGACTGTTGCATAATGTATTACACTATATAGTATTATATACTAGTACAATACAGTATATAGCACTAAATTATGGTTATTATTACTAAATTATAATTAAGTAATAATAGTAGTATACTACAGTATACTGTATAGTACCAGTCTATGGTTTGAAAGTGGCAAGTAACCCACCCTTATATGATAATTAAAGTACTAATGCATTTACGTTAATTTAAATAATATCAATCAACTAAAGCTAAGAACAGAAATCAAAGTTCTAGTAATCATCTAAAATAAGCTTGATCCCTCAGGCTGGCGCAGAATCGGGAGGGTTTGTTATAATATAAAAGCATATAATATTCATTTCATGATTCTAATTTGAAAGTTGCTCTTAACAACCTTCTGCTCAGTTCTGCTATTCGTCCATATAAGACCCCATTAGGCAGGCTGAATTGTAGATGTTAAAAGTAGGAGATGTCGACACCATACTTTATCATTTTCAGTAGGTACGCCCCTCATGCTTAATCAGTTGTGTTGGTTTCAGAGAGATGCGAAAGGTTTATACAATCTTTCAGACGGTTTTCTGCATAAAAACGTTGCTGTTTTTTCCTAAAATTGGTGCTGAGAATTTTTTAAAAAATGGATACAATTTCTTTTTGGAAAACAAATAATGAGGTCATTAGCCAGTATGCCCCACTGGGAACCTCCATGTAGGTGTGATGATGACTAAGGAAAAATATGCCAGTTCTGGAAAATCCAATTGTAACCTGTCATATGTCCTCGCTGTATATATTGCTGTTACTATTTTGAAATGTCTGCATCCTAACTGTGCCAGCAACCACGCTTGAGGCTCTTAGAGAGTAATACCATAGATTTTAACCCTCAAATTAACTACCATGAAACTTACCAGCTGGCTCTGTCTGGGAAGTGGTGCCTGGATTACCTACCAAGGCAAAAAAAAAAACTGTTACAAAAATCAATTTCATATTAATTCATATTACTCTGAAGTCATACTTTTCTTTGGAATTCATATTCCACAAATTTCACCTATTCTAGAATCAACTGTTATAGAATGTGTCATTTCTTAACATAACCTTTTTTCTATCTATTCATATCATATACATCCGTACATTTATAATGGCATAGGTACAGTATGTGTCCATGTAACATGTGAGGACAGATTGGAAGAATGACGAAAAGTCTTTAAAAAGTCTTCTCGGGAACTTACTTAAACGATCACGGATAACACGTGGGTCTGCTGTAACTGTATTAAAAAAGAAATGAATATGGGGTTAAAATATCACAACCATGATTATTTTAATTTGGTTCTAAGGCGAGACCTCAGGCCATTTTAGTGGTTAAATTGTGCTGCTGTATCACATACAGTAGTAACTCTCACTTGGCTTTAAGTTCAGAACATTTTGAAACTGATGGCACAAGAAACTTTTAGTCTGAAACTCATTATCAGCATTTCAGACCCTACAAGACCACAAGGTTTGTTAAACGGGTTTGTCAATTAATCGATGGGATATTCTGAACCCCATAAATTGCTAACAAAAGAGGCAGTCGGCATCCACTATTTTTTCATAAATGTATTTGAACAGGGGAGACAGTGACCAGACACGGACTAAGAAAGTTTATTTTATAGTACTGTACACAATTTACACACGAGAACTGGGATGGGGAAATGTTCATAGATCTTAGTGACAGTCGAAAAATGTCTCCAGCGGTCTGGTCATTAACACTAAAGAGAGTGGGGGGGTCTTTCTAGAAACTGGCAATCTGTCATCTAGGTGTGGGTTTGACTAAATGGTCTTTCAAGTAAAATAAAACAGAGAAGCAAAATGCTGACTGATGCTGTTGGGTTATTGTAATTTGTGTGCAATATTAGAAAGAGTCTTCTTCCAAACATGCCAACAGCCCAATCTGCTAGCCTGTGAGGGTTCACTTGATATGAGTCTTCATAGCTGCTAAAATAAAAATATCTTAATTCACGGTCAAATGTGTGCCCTTATTCTTTCATTAAATGGACCTATGCATGAAATGAAGTGTGTGGGTTTGTTACAGAATACAGCAGAGGCAGGTGTAATGGACATGTCTATGACCAAGAACATCTAATTTCTCACTTGAATGAGAACATTACTACTAACACACACTATGCCTATAATTTCTGGGAAACGTTCAAAAACTATTATGGGGGATATCTATTTGTAGGGTTAAAAAGTCTAGTTAAAATGTTAGGGTCTATTGTTTTGTGTGTGTGGATGAGGAAAAAAGGCATAAGTGATTTAAACAGATAAGACTCCTAAATAGTTCTAGAATTTAGAAAATGTAAACATCTCATGACAAGTCTATATAAATATGGTGCGGAGGCAGTATAAGGTTAAATAAAAAGGTAGTTCAGGTGGGTAGCTGCATCAGCATGCGTAGGCTGCAAAGGAACAAGTAAAGGTTTATTCAATGCTGAAAAGAGAAGAAAGGAAACACAATGTTTCGGCTACCTCACACCTGAAGAAGGCTCCGCAGCTGAAACGTTGTGTTTCCTTTCTTCTCTTTTCAGCACGGAATAAACCTCTACTTATTCCTATATAAAAAGATGTTTACCAGATCCTCTTCTCCAGAGAGACTTACATTGATATCATTTAATAAAATGATCAAATAAAATAAAATACATGTTGTACTCAAAGTACAACAACAGCACTCTACCCAGGTTTTGAACCACGATAATTCTAATTACGAGTTCAAAGCCTCTTACCACTACCACACACTGGTGTCAGAGTGTCTTGTCTTCCTTCAGCAATCCTTGTCAACATTCATAATGGAAAAAGATATTCTGGAATTCCAAACCCTGTGTGTGTGTTATGTGTGTTACGAAAAAGAAAGACTTGAATGATGAACATCTAAGAAAAAAAACAACATAAAATTGAAATTCAAGCTGTCTTTTAAAAAAATGTCAGTAGACCTACCCGTCGAATCCGTTTGAGAAATGGTGCCATGTGGATCTCCTGTAACTAAAATATCAGATTAAAACAATTCATAAAATGAAACAAATTCCTGCTCGGTGTATTTCCGTATGGAAATTATCAAATAGATCATAAGAGAGATTTTTTGGAGGGTAAGATATAAGGGATAAAAAAATGGCACTTTCATTTTTTTATTTGTATTGCATTTTTATTATGTATTTATTTGTATTGTATTGTTTGTATTGTTATTGTAATCTTAACTTACTGGGTGATTCTGTGTGAATGATTGAACCCTGCTGTTCTACCAAACCTAAGACAAAGCAGCAAAAAGAAATGAGAGCAAAAGCATATTAGTTAAAAATAATACACACAGAACAACTGTACATATAATGTCAAGAGTTGCAACAAATGTATTTCCAGTTAAGAAGAGAAATGACTTTTATGGCTTAAACCTTGACGGGTGTAATGGAGAAGTCTAAGCCAGGAGGAATGTCTTTGGTTTATGTAAAATAACCTGGGGAAATTCGTTCAATGACTCTGTATTATGGCTCCTACCTACAAAGCCTACTTCACCCCTGCTCTTTTCCCATTTTACACATCAGACCAACTGGTCTTACACTGAGTTCTATTTACGAGATGAACCTGACTTAGCAAGGACACTGAGGGTATCCCCTGTAATCGTGAAATAGTTAGTCAAGACTGCAGAAAGCCTTGTACAGTATGTTTCCAAAAGTTCCGTTTTCAAGGGTAATGCAGAGACCCCATCTAGGAAATTGCACCCATAACACTATAGCCTACATGCTACTGCCTGCTTCAACAGGATTTCAGTAACTATGCACCAAATACATCACATTGCTATGTCAGTGTAGACCTTCACTATTGAGATACAAGTGCTAATGTCATAAATAATCATCCTCATCCTATTTTATTTTTGTGGTACACACAACAGGGATAAACAATTTATTGACAATGAACATTATGGTGAGGTAACACAGCTAGATCTGATGACGATTTAATCACTTTGCACAGTTATGGTTTTCTGAAGGTGAAAATGATTTTAGTTTGTCTTACCTGTGGAATCTGTCATGCCTGTGCTGGCTCCAGAGTTATCTTCTCTCCCTAAACAGTGCAAAATAAATAGTTATCCCAATAACTTTGCCACAGTGGAACGGCACAAACACTACACAACAAGTCTTTTTAGGGAGAGCTTATCCCTAAATAATCATTTTTAATATTGGAACTAATGCTGTCAGGTGTATTTGTGATTGAGTGTCACAAACCTGTTACATCACTCTGAGCCCTGGTTACAGCTGCAATCCCTGTGAAAGGGAAAAAAAAAGTTGCTAAATTATCAAATTAAAAAAGCTTTAGGAAATTATTTGAGAGATAATGTGACCCAATTAAGTAACTTCCCAAAGCATCAAACATTCCTTGCATTTCCTTACTGGCAATATTTCTGAGGTGAAAAGTGATGTTTTGACAATATGTTACACGTGTGGGTCGAATGACAAGGCTGAATCAAATATCACCTAACACCTATCACCATGGTGTAACTAAAATGTTACACCATTGAGTAATGGTTAGTGCTCTCACACCCTCACAAGAGGATTGTGATATTTGGAATATCCCATTGCTATGATTTGCCTCTACTTACCCATAGAATCTGGTGAGCTTGAACTCTGTAGCTCTCCTGGACCTGAAATACAGATTAAAACTATATCAATGCAATTTGAAATTCCAGTTATATCCTATATAATAAGTATAATATACAGTACATTACATTAATGTATGAGTATAATATATAAATATATCAAATACAGAACTCGGAAAAGAGATAGAAGGCTTAATTTGGATAAGTAACAATGGCTCTATAGGCAATCTTTCATTAATATAAACACATAACAAGGACACATTGCTCTGTCATAGAGAAAAGTGACAAAAATACATGTGATGGAAATCATAATTAAATATCACAAAACATAAATATTCGACCTTAAATACAATATCTCATGTTTAAACACTCCATGTAAGTAAATATCCCATGTCAAAATGCTATAAAAGAATCCATCAAAATAACCTTGAAAGCTATCGAACCTCTCGGATTAAACGACACATGGAATTAACATGGTTGCAGCTGTACTGTAAGTGCTGTTTCTGGGCCAGATGGTGGCGATTGTCCCTGTGGAGCAGAATTTCCAACCCGATGCATAAGTAATGGGACTGTGGACATGAAAGACTCTTGGGATGTTAACGCCGTGTCCTCACTAGTTTCCACTTTAGGTTCGCTCATTGTTACTTGCTTAAATTTTCCCCTTAATTCAATTGGTGAAGTAATTTTAGATTATGGCCTGTTAGTGTGGCTGCTGGGACAGTATGCTTCACATCTCTCAGATGGGTTGTACATAGGTATAATGATATTATATACTAGATTTATATATACTAACTAGATTTACAGTGTATGCACAAATGTGCCTACTGTAAGACATCCTAATTGTATCACATATAATTTACTTTTATTTCAAGCCATTTTCTTTACTGTCTTTTTAGTAGTAATATTAGCTTACATATAGCACTTTACAGGTAATGGGGACTCCCCTCCACCACCACCAATGTGTGTAGCATCCACCTGGAGGATGGGACAGCAGCCATAGTGCTCCAGAACACTCACCACACATCAGCTATCAGTGGGGAGGAGAACAGTACTGAAGGTGGGGATTATTGGGAGGCCATGACTGGTAAAGGCAGATGGGAAATTTGGCCTGGACACCAGGATTACACCCCTACTCTTTTCAAGAAACACCCAGGGTTTTACATCTCATCTGAAGGGTGGGGCCTTTTTTTTTTTTTACAGTGTAGTGTCCCCGTCACTATACTGGCTCGTTAGGACCCACACAGACCGCAGGGTGGGCGCCCCCTGCTGGCCCCACTAACACCTCTTCCAGCAGCAACCTTAGTTTTTCCCAGGAGGTCTCCCATCCAGGTACTGACCAGGCTCACAGCTGCTGAGCTTCAGTGGGCTGCCCGTTGTGAGTTGCAGAGTGATATGGCTGCTGGCAATGATTTGTGTGATAATTTCCAAACATCATGATAGTTTTTCATTACATTTAAAATTCACTGCAAAGTATGGTGACACAGCGGAAATCCATTACCTGTGAAGTCCGGCCGATGAATTGCGCCTGCTCCTAAAATGATAGAAATGACAATTTAGGAACAAGAATTTAACGAAGAAAAATTGATTACTATGCTTGAACAGAGAAGGTCCAAGATTCTAAAAATATCATACAGTACATTCGCTTCAACAACCGCTCAAATCAAATGCAATGCTTAAGTGAGAAGTTTGATGAGATGTTAAGGAAAGTGAAACCAGGCCCCGTTGGAGTGTAACTCAAAATGTTGCATGCCACCAAGCAAACTAGGAATAAAAAGTTCATATTAATGTAGAAGACAAATGTAGAAGGACAGTATCTTGTACATGTAATAGTTAACTCACCTATGTGTGAACCAGTGCTCTGAATATCTCCTGTACCTGTATCAACTGAAGCAATAACATTTAGAGGACAAAGGGAGAAAGTAAACATCTTAAATTCCCTCTTTTTTTTATTTGTATACCACAGTTGAGGTACTGTATGCATATACAGTACGTAACTTCTGCATATCCCACCCTCTATATCTTTTCGTTGATTTCTTTCTTGTTATAATAATAACAACAATTCTTTACACTTACAGAGCGCTTTCCAGAATACTTCCACCTAAAAATATCCATCATGTAAACTTTAAGAAAAATCCTTAGGAAAAGTTATTAGTGGAAATGCATTCCTCAATGCATTCTACAATTCACGCATGGTGTCAATGTACTAATTGCTTGATATATTCTGTCTCTGATTAATTTCTAGAATTTCAATAAGGAGGATTATGAATAAAAATGTGCATCAGTAAAAGGCTCAAAAAAACTTTTTGTTCTAGAGAATCCCCTGTATTAAGATGTGGGATAAGTTAGTCATTGTCCAGAAAATTAGTTGCTGATTTATATTTAAATTCTACACATCAGAAGTAAAGAAAAGCTGCAATTCATATTTAACAGCTTAATTTGAAATTAATCATTTAAAGAAAATGTATTGGAAATCAAGTATTGAGAGAAAAGGAAAAATATTAGTAATATACAGTAATATGCACACAATTTATTACCAATATGCCGATACATTTATGCTTCCTTCACAAAAAAGGTTACTTAATGAGATGATGTGGGAATATCTGAAAGTTCATAAAGAAATACCTGCAGACTGTATTTCTGAGGAGGTGCCATGGTGATTCATTGTTCCTGTGTTAAAGAAAACATAACACTTAATCCATGCTAAGTGGAAGTATTACACATCTATTGTTTATTTGGAAAAAAATAACAGCTCCATACTTTGTCTAGTCAATATCACTGCAGAGTTTAGAGTATTACTACTGCAGTCCATTTTCCTGTGTGTGTAGGAACTAGTACCAGGCTGATCCCACGTACGGTATGCACAACAACCAAAGAAATCAATGCAAATTGGTAATTGATGCAGCCCAGGCAATAAGAATCCGCCTAGAATGAAACATTAATTAATCATTCTGGAATTCATTATCTAGAGTTAATCAAGGTATCATCACTGGACGCACCTGGAAGATGTGTGTGTGATACAGGTCTTTGCCGGCTACCGTTGCCTGGAACACAAATGTTTCAGAAACTGAAAGGCATTAAACTGCAACAAATGAGTATTTCAGTGTATGTTCATATATATATAGTGTATATTAGTGGCCTTTTACATAACAGAATGTTGTCAATTGCCAGACAAAATGTAAAAGAACAAGATTCGTAGGATTTAGTATCAAATATAACCACCTGATATAAAATAAAACATAGCTTTACCTTCCTCATATTACACTTTCTTGTAATTAATGTACTAAGTCCTTTATTAAAATAACAGTCATTTTTTCATAGTACTCAAATTAAACAATATCTTTATTGGTTTTTCCATATTAAATATGAAATGAGAAAATATGAACTATGTACAAAAACAAGAAAAATCTGGCTGTGAACATAGTAAGGGACTAATTTCATTTTAAGGGTATAAGCTTTGTATTATATAAAAAAAATATATTTTCAATGGTCTGAAAATATGCATTTTTCCATTTTTCTTCTTACCGTTGGAATTTGAAGAGTCATTACTGGCCAGATCAGTACCACCTTCTACAAAGCAAAGCATTTTACTGTCAGTCAGTAATAAAGTATAGCAGACGCTTCTGCAGAGTACCTATTAAGAACAGAACTAAGTTTGTGGTACATACAGTAGGAAGGATATCAGTGTCATTTGTGGCTGCGCTAAATTTAATTATTGTAAATATAGTTAAAATAATGAGGGTCTCTTTGATCCAATGTTTGTCAGAATAAGGACATTTCGAAATTATGATTTATTAACATACCTGTAAAATCCATAGATGAAGGTTCTGTTTGTGAGCTTGTACTTGCCTGAACGCCCACATTATCTGAAAAGAAATGAATATATTCTTTGACAGCGGATAATGATCTTACCAGTTAAATGCTTTTCTGCTTTCTCATAATTATATGGTCTAATAGGTAATGGGCACAAATTGTTTATTTTCATATCTCTAATTAAGAGCGGATTACTCTAATAATGTTATGCTAAGGATCTGTTGATGGTCATCAACCTTGGATTTCCCACAGAAAATCCATTAATTACACAAAGTAATTGCTCTCACTGGGTTAATGGAGTGTTTTGTTAAAGGTTTCAAGTGGAAAGCTGTGTCGTTTTGTGAGCTGCTAAGAAACAAGTAGAGATTAACTTTCTCCTAAAAAGTAGCACAAAAAGGAAGATGGCAAATCTCTGTCTTGTTTCAGAAATTGTTGTTTCTAAAAACTTTAACTTTCTTGAGTTTCAGAGAATGCCATTTTGTTCTTGAAAAAAACTAAAAATATTTATATTTTGCTGCTGTTGTACCTATTTTCATTACCATGCCTTACAAATGTGTTACCAATGAAAGTACCAATGAAAAGTTTTATAATTACAAATTATGAATACACATTTTTACAATGAATATAAGTATTAAAAACTTGAATATCTTTGAAAGAATTTCAATTTAGGTAGCTGCGTCAGCGTCCGTAGGCTGCAAAGGAACACGTAAAGGTTTATTCCAGGCTGAAAACGGAAGAAAACGCACCTGAAGAAGGCTCCACAACTGAAAAGTATGTTTCTTTTCTTCTCTTTTTAGCATGGGATAAACCTTTACTCATATCTTTGAAAGAAGTTAAATATAAGAGAAACCTACAAAGAAAAACAAAAAACTAAAATATGTCTTGAGATATTTGTACAAGATATTGTCATCAAGTTTTCACCCCTCTGAGTAAAAACCTTCTGGGAGCAAATACAGTTGCTTATCGTTTTGGATAACTCTGGGTTGGTGCAACTCTCGCCTATTCTTCTTTGCAAACTTGCTGGATACAATTTTCGAGAGTCACTAGACATTTTTTTAACCCTTTAAGTCAGGACTTTGACTAGGCTACCGAAGGACATGCTCTCTCTTCTTGTTAAGACACCCTAGTGTTTTGGGTCATTAAGCTACTGAATAAGGTTATCACCCATGAAACTCTTAAGACTGAATATTCAGTTTTTGATTTAAAAAATTATAAAATCATTATCATCCTAACACTTCTACAACACTTTTCTGAACAAAGCGCTTTACAGGTAAAGGAGACTCCCCTCCATTCCCATCAATATGGAGCCCCCACCTGGATGATGCGTCATCCCTGTAAGCTCACCATACATCAGCTATCAGTGTGAAGGAGGGCAGAGCAATGAAGGCAAATTCATAGATAGGAATTATTAGAATTATTAGTGATAGATAAAGAGCAGGGGGGAATTTGGCCAGGACACCAGGGTTAAGACCCCAACTCTTTCCAAGAGACATATTTTTTACAATATAGTGTCCCCATCACTATAGTGAGACATCAGGGCCCACACTGCAGGATGAGCGCTCCCTACTGGTCCCACGACAACCTCTTCCAGCATCAACCTTAGCTTTCCCAGGAGGTCTCCCATCTAGGTACTGACCAGGCTCCCACCTATTTAGCTATAGTGGGTTGCCAGTTGTGAGTTGCAGGTTGATATAACTGCTGGCTATCTGAATGTGTGTTCGACATTATTGGAAGGAGGTGAATACATTTGCAAGGAACTATAAGTGAGGCTTGTCTTACACTGGTCTGAGATCATTTTAAAAATGTTATTTGCAATCATTACCTGTTGTATCTGTATGCAGACTGGTATCAGCATGTTCTCCTGCACCCAAAACTGCAATAGGCAAATAAAGGCATTGAGTGACTATCTAAAAAGTTACAGTGCTAATTCTGATTCAGTTTCTGGCTCAGTACATGTAGGAACCCAAGTGCTGTACCTCACCTGTAGAGCCTGTGTAGTTACTAGATATTATCTGATCTGTTGTGCCTGGAGACCACAAAAAAACATTACAGACAATGGAATCACGTTTTTACCATTGAAATAGACACACCCCTTGAGTACTTTGACATTGGAGATGTTAAAAGATGATAGAATGTTTATTCTGTGGGTGTAACTCCACTTTTGAATTGTGTATGTCTTATGTGTGGCAATTTGTGACAAAACAATGAATGCTGGGAAAGAAGTTATTCTTAACAATATATTTATCCTTAAACATTTGTACCAAAGGGTTAGCCTTTCATTGTCAAACATCAGGGATAATTTCTATTTAGGAACAAAACTTTCAGTGTCTATGAAACATACATTTATGCACTGTAGGCTATGGTTTATAACAGGCTATAGATCTTTTACTTTTCACCTTTTTTTCTTCCATTTTTCTACTTCATCCTGGAATTTTGTGTTGCTACTATATTTTAAATTGTGATAGAAACCCAATTAACACTATAGCAAAACCGACAACTAAAATATATTTGAATACAAATGGATTTGTAAATTCCACAAAAACACTGCATCAAATACAAATAATTGCTTTTTTAAGGAAATCCGCCCTTTACAAAACTAAACTCATTTCCAGAATTCCCAATTCAATTATTCTTTGAAACCTGATATACACATGATCTGTTGATCCAAATAATCTGATGAGATTAGTTATTATTGGTTTAGCTCCTGATTTAATCCCAGAGTCAATCTGAGAGTCACTACATCAATGGGTTCCTCATGCAAACCTGTGGAGTCTGGTGTCAGTGAGCTGATTTCTTGTTGATTCCCTGGAGTAGAGAAAAAAGAACTGTCAGCACAAAAGTAAAGAAGCTGGTTTCCATGCAATCTGTTAGAAATGAACATCCTGTGCAGGGAAATTTGGAACAATGAGAGACACTGCATAAGGTATTTTCAACTCAATAGTTAATAGAATACCAAATAGCTCAAAAGTCTAAAAACGCCAGCATGCCCCACACGATCATATCATTCACTTCATATTATTTAATAACAATAAGTATCACATATACTGTATAGCGTTTTGTTTTAGATCTGTTTTTTTAGACTTACATTTTAGATACTTTTATCAGTCCCACAGATTGCCGTAATTCTTGTAAAAATGTTTTTTATTGCATTGAAAAATCTGCAGCAAATATTTATCCATCCATCAATTTTTTTAGCACAATTTGGGAGAGCTGGAGTCTATCTCAGCAAGCAACAAGCACAAGGCAGGGCACACCCTGGACAGGACTCCAGGCCATCACTGGGCACACACAGACACAAACACACACACTCACACTGGGGCCAGTTTTGCCAGAAGCCAATTAACCTGTCAGGATGTCTTCGGACTGTGGGAAACCCACTTAATCATATCACTGCTTTTCAGGGAAATGAAACTGTGCTACCGATTGATGTATTCATGCGGCTAATTTCACATTAAACATTTTCTAACAGAAGAAGAAATAGGAAAAAGATGATCTGCATTGTGTACTCATATATAAAATGGCAAATAAGCAGCTGCTTCAAGGCCTTTTAACCTGAACTCAACAGATCTCAAAAGCTAAGTGAGCCTTACTTTGTTGGGAAACGTCTAAAGAGAACAAGATATCTGCTGTAAGTGGTGTTGGGAGACCAGTAAAAAAATCCTTATACTTATATTCACCCCACTCAAAGCCCTTTACAGGTAATGGGGACTCCCCTCCACTACCACCAGTGCGCAGCCCCACCTGGATGATGCGCCTGTAGCCAAAGTGCGCCAGTACACTCACTGCACGGCAGCTATCAGTGAGGAGAACAGAGTGATGAAGCCAATTCTGAGATGGGGATTATTAGGAGGCCATGGTTGGTAAAGCCCAATGGGAAATTTGGCCAGGACACCAGGGTTACACCCCTACTCTTTTCGAGAATCACCCTGGAATTTCTAATGACCACAGAAAGTTAAGACCTCGGTTTTACGTCTCATCCGAAAGGACGGTGCCATTTACAGTAGAGTCCCCATCACCATACTGGGGCATTAGGACCCACACAGACTGCAGGGTGAGTGCCCCCTGCTGGCCTCGCAGTAAGAGGCACTCTTCCCTCTGAAGCAGTATGCCCCAAACCAATGATGGCCAGAGACATTGTGCTCTATGACATACTGTCCCTCTGATGAGACATTAAACCAAGATCCTTGTAAGAGCACCCTATAGTACCCTACTAGGGACGTAGCTTAGCTTTCACTCTGTGTTTGCAGACCTAGCTACCCAATGTTCCTTATTAATTCAGTGGGTGAAGTATGTTTTCACTCCTCTGCCTGATCTGTTGTCTAGTGAGGCTATCAGACATCACCCAGGGCTGCACCTGACTGGTGGATAAAGTGGGCCCTCTCCTACAGTATATGTCAAATACTTTAGGATCCTTTGGGGTGACATTTGCTATATAAATGCAAGGAATTGCTATTGCTGCTACTGTACAATGATATAAATGATCTAAATCTTGATATTCAAGGCTTTTTGTGAGAATATTATTTCAACAGAAAAAAAAACATTTGGTCCACCTGATGTCTCTGGTTGTGTGGTACTTCCTGCCTGTTCTCCTGCAAGTATAAACAAAACCATGCAGAAGATTGCTGCTTTAGATGTTTTTTGACATTTTTAAGTAAGAACAATCAATCAATTCATTTCTTCCCAACCTGTGACTCCTGTCTCCAGGCTTCAAAGAAATTACATGGAGCACATTTAGAAATAATAAAAGGCACAGCCTGTGGGTGAGCTTATCTCTAAGCTCTGTCTGGTTTCTTACATAGAACTAAAATGTAACGAGGAGCTGTTTTTCATTTCAGTTTTTAATTAGGTTAAAATGGAAACCCTAAAATGGGTGCACAGTTTAAAAACAAAATTAAACTGGCTAACATCAGGTTGTGCTGATTCTTTCAATAGGATGTTGACAACTACAAGAAACATCTTCAGAATCTTTCAAGGTCTTACAAAGCTGTCACTGGTGACGTTCCCTTAACATTTGATTGGGGAACGCTATACAATGAAATACTGACCCAAGGGATCTGTTGGTGAACTGCTTGAAGAAGGATCCCCTGTAAAAACAAGAAATTAGCTTCTCCCTGCAAGCTTTTAGTCTATTTGTATTCTGATGGTTTTTTTTGCTTGTGCTGACTTTTATTTAAATTGTACTGTATGTTATTTAACTTTGCTGTTGTTGCTGCTGCTGATCTGTGTTTATATTTGGTGTTTCCTTAATGTCTTTGTATTGGAGCATACATGCAAATAACCATTTCATTGAACTTGTGCATATGACAAATAATAAACTGAACTGAAACTGAACTGAAATTAATGAATGTAAGGTTGTTGCAAACAACACAATGTTCTTTAGGCTTGAAAAATATATTACAAAGCGGGACATGCAGATATGGTTTCTGCAACTTTTGATGACTTGTGAAAGAAAGTGACAAGCTAAAAATTGCGACTCTTCTTGTTAAATGTATTTTGACCAACGCACAACAGTTTTTTTTTTTTGCCATTTCTAGTGGCAAAACTAAAAGATTATCCAGTTGGTTTAAAATGATATCCTTCTGACTGCCTTCATGACCGTTGATTTAATTTGCAGGTTAGGGAACTCTGCTACAAGCTACTTGTCTTTCACTGAAGCATTTAGGAGGGTCTCATTACATGTACTTGAGTGAATATCTTCTGTGATCCTGAAGAGATTTATTTTGTTACAGGTCTGAGAACAGTCTCATGGAGGGGTAGCATTAATAATATATGAGAGGGACCTCAGGCTTGACATTTCAGAAAAGCCATAAGCGCTCACTGCACCTTCTATTGTGGGTTAGTGTGACAGTACCTGTTCTGTCTTGTTGAGAGCTACTATTGTGATGGTCTCCTGGAGCCAAAACAGAAACAGACATTATAGAGAAACACAATCCTATGCCTGTTTTTATTAATAGGATTATTTTCGGGGAAAAGTACAGTAGGTTTAAAGTGGAAATTTGATTGATTTTGGAAAAAAGGCAGGCATACTCCAGAAGATTTTATACCTTCTTCTCAGAACTAAGCTAAACTCGAACTTACAGTAACTGTATCATTAATACACTAACACTAATCATTCCTACAGTGCACTGTTAGGGCATTAACATCAGTCTTATTGCACTACCATATTATAAAATATGATATTATTTCATGATTTATTATCATAAAATATTCGACTGAGATCAAGGCAAAATTAATGATTGTATTTCTTTTCTTCAAATTTACATCACTTTTACTGTAATGAACAAAGTTCACTTTTTTGGATTTGTTAAACACCAATGCAGCATTTACTATGCATTTTTAAGACTCAGCTAATGCGTCTTTGCTTTTGTTGAATTTTGACCTTGTTCCATTGTACTAGAAATGCACAGGTTGAGTGGAGAACTGTGTCAGTGCGGACAGGCAGCAAAGAAACAAATGGAGGAATCTTTCTTTTTACTCTTTGGCATTAAATTAACCTCCACTTCTTCCTTTTCAAACACAAAGGCAGTTTCACTTTGGAAGCCCTAGATACGTCTACTGTATATGGGTGTTTCTGAAGAAGTTTTCTTTAAGAATAACATCTGAATGTCTCATCAAATAAAAGTGATGTTAAAATAAACAAAAATAAAAAAGGAGGTAAATTGTCTCAATTCCGTTGATTAAAAGTACTCACCTCTTTGATCCATCTGTGAACTAGTTGAATCTGGTGAATGTACAGGGGAAAAAAGAGCTTCTAATTTGTTATACTGTATATTTACATTTTTCAAATAGAAATATCTAAAGTTTTATTATTATTCACACAGACCTGTAGAATCTGTGCTGAAACTAGTGCTGAGCTGATGACCTGTATCTGAAATAAAACAAATCATGCAAAAATATAATACAGAAATATACGTACTCAATATACAGAAGTACCTTGAATATATATTTGCAATACCTTTAAATCTACAACTGGAAAATGAAACAGTGAGACCTCTTTGAGAAAATCTAGGAAAATCTAGGAAAGTAAAGTAAAGTAGGAGACCACTCAGCACCTTATTTTTTCATTCACTCTTACTAAATAGACCTCACTATTCCTATGCTGATGATTTACTGCTATATCTTTGGAAAGAACTGGGGGAGTTCGGAATTAACCATGCAGTGTGTGCATTTCATCATTTGTCTTAAAAAAAGATACATCTGTACAAGCTAGAGCAAGCTGGATATTCTTAAATTAAAATATACTAAAATAAAAAATAAAATAGTTCTGAAAGTTAATCCTTAATATACAACCACCAGAACACAGGTACATTACAGATAGTTCTCTCAGGTTCAACCAGAGGAATGAACTCCCAAATTACATGTTTTTTTAGATTTAGTGTTTTAGACAATTATTTTTTGATGATGTCTTCAGACTTCATGTTAATCAACATATACAAACGTGGGCAGATTAGTCTTAAGAGAAAAATTAATCGAAGCAAAGGAACACACCTGTGATGTCCGTCTGGGAGCCGGTGTTGGTAGGATCTATAGCTCCTAATATCAGAATTAACTTAATTAATAATGATAATTATCATAATCAATAATGAAATACTGTACTTCACCATGATTAATTTATTTTTGCAAATTATACTGTAGTTTTTTATTTATGTGGCTTAAAGGGGGAACTGCAGTCCCAGTTTCTCAGACAGGTTATTAAAGTCTGATGAAACAAAGCTTTGAGTTTTACTTACCACTGGCTGTTGACTCTGTAAGAACCTCGGCACTTGATGCGTTTCCTGTTTAAAAATAAATATTTCAGTATTTCAGGGAGATGCAATGTCATAATATTAATATTGGCTGGATTTAAATAAAGACAGGAATAGAGATAGGAACAGAGACTCATAAAGACAGGATTATTCATTTGAAATGCAGATTGATTCATTAATCTAGATTTGTTAGGACTGAATGTTCATATCTGCTTCCCTGCAGCAGAAATCATTTTCTATTTAAATGTCATTTCAGAATACAATCAGGTGTGACTGACTTGGAGCCGTTTCACATTTGACCTCCCTGTGCTTCACCTGTAAATGATGACAGATGCAAAAGGCGATATGTCTTTTATTTTTAACATTTTTCAACAAATGGTTGTAATAGTGCAAGTATTGTACAAATTATCATAAAGAACAAAACAATTGTTCATTATGTAGATTTATACATTATTTATGATATAAATAAATGTGTTTTTTCCATCTATCCAATATCAATTCGATTTTCCCAATACAGGGTCGGTGGGGAACCTGAGCCTCCGGCAAAGGCACAAGGGAAGGTACACCCTGGACAGGACGCCAGTCCATTGCAGGGCACACACAGACACGGACAAACCAGGGCCAATTTTCCCTACAAGTATGTCTTTGGACTGTGGGAGCACCTGGGAGAATCCCACATGAACATACAGTAGGGAGAACATACAAGCTCTACACAAATAGCCCCTCAGGTATTGACCCTAGGTCCCCAGTACTGTAAGGCAGCAATCCTCACCACAGTTTCACCATCTTTGTGTTTTACTAACCTGTCAAATCTGCTTGGGCACTTGCAGCAGTTTGATCTGGGTAGTCTGAGAAAGAACAGTGCAATACCGGCTCAATATAGTCTACAGCTTTTTGACAAAAAAAGTTACATCCGTGTTTGCACTGTTGCATAGGGAGTCAAAAAATTAAATAAGAATTCTACTTTTATATTTTGTGTTGGTGATTGGTTTTGGATGAATGTTACCAAAGTAAGTTAGATGACCATACCTGCAGAATGGGTCTCAGAAGGAATGTTTTGCTGATGGTCTGCTCCTATTGTGAACACACAAGGTATGAGTCATAATACATACCATGAATACATACTTCTCCTCGGTGCTATGATAATAATCAACATGTGAAGTGGGTTTGTGAAAAGCCACCATCTTGGCTCAAAATGCAAGGTCATTAGTGGGGCCTTGAACCAACTTGGCCATCTAGTAATTAACCTGTTGAATGTGACACAGCTGCTCTGGGTGAGTCATTAATACTCAGATGGAGTGAAATTCCATGTGTGGGAAAGGTGCTAGTGGGCTCTTCATGTAATAATAATAATTAATAATTTTTTAGATTTATATAGTGCTTTTCTGGACACTCCACTCAAAGCACTTTACAGGTAATGGGGACTTCCCTCTACCATCACCAATGTGCAGCATCCACCTGGATGATGTGACCAGCCATAGTGCGCCTGAATGCTCATCACTTTTCAGCTATTAGTGGGGAGGAGAACAGAGTAATTAAGCCAGTTCATAGATGGGGATTATTAGGAGGCCAAGATTGGTAAAGCCAATGGAAAATTTGGCCAGGACGCCAGGTTTACACCCCTACTCTTTTCGAGAAACGACCACAGAGAGTCGGGACCTTGGTTTTATGCCTCATCCAAAGGATGGCACCTTTTTTGTTTTACAGTATAGTGGCCCCATCATTAGACTGGGGCATTAGGACCAACACAGACTGCAGGGTGAACACCCCCTGCTGGCCCCACTAACACCTCTTCCAGCAGCAACCTTAGTTTTGCCAGGAGGTCTCCCATCCAGGTACTGATCAGGGCACACCTGCTTAGCTTCAGTGGGTTGCCAGTTGTGAGCTGGAGGGTGATATGGTTGCTGGCGCACTGGGCTAGAAATAGAAGGGAAAGGGCTTCAGGCTTTATTTAGACTTTAGTTTGGAAGTTTAGATCCCAAGTGGAGGGATGATTTAAAATGACTAGGGCTGTGGGGGATTGTGGGCTAGGTATGCTTAATTAAATACAGCATAAGCTATATTGTGAAGGGTCGCAGGAGCTGGACAAGGAGGCTGTTTCATAGGTAGCTTGCCAGGCACAATGAGGAAGAAGTATGTTGCTGAGGAAAAGGTGAGCTAGCTGAACCAGGGCTGACTCTAAGCATGAGGACATTGAGGAACTGGGCATAGCTTGGCACACAGGTTGACTCCGGAATACGTCCTGTGTCTTAACATCAGCAGACAGATTGAACGTCTCCGGGAATGTGAGATGAGAAAACAACAAACCCACTGCTGCTGTGTCAGGGATACAACCTTTTATTTAAAGAGCGGTGGCGGCCCTGGCCAAACAGGATCGGCTGTTAAATACAGGTGCTGTGTTATGTAAGATCTGGTGCTTGGGAAACAGTGCGAGAGAAAAGCTGTTGTGAAGACTGAGACCTGGGCGTTAAAGGATAAGCTTCTTTCAGTGCTGTAGTGTCAACTTGTGTAAAGTGAAGATTGAGAAATGAGTGAAGTAGAGTTAATTGAGTTTAATTCTCCAGTGCCTGCTGATTAAAATGGAGGGAAGAGGGAGCAGCAGGGGGCAATGAAGTGAATGCTCTAGTATCTGGTGACTATCAAAGAGTTCTAGCTACTACCATCAGCTTTGTGTTGTCAAGAGGGAAGAGAACAATGCAGAATTCACTCTGAGAGGAGATGAGTGGTTAAGATTTAGGGCCCCACAAGCAGTCCGAAGAACAAAGACAGACCCTTTGAAAAAGTGTAAAATAAAAATGACACTTTGGCACCCCAAATATTGCTGGGGGTTTTAGAAAACACATTTCTGTAAAGAGTTGTTTGCTCAGGCCCCTGACTTACCTGTAGTTCCAGTGTAAGATCCAGCCATAAGCTTATTCCCATTTCCTGAGAGTGAAACAAACTCTTTATAAATCTATACATTTTATAATTCAGTAAAATGTATAACTAGAAATGTATAACTCTTTATGAGGAAGGGCTAATAAAAAAATCTTAGTTATTAAGGCTATACAAAACAAACCTGGTAAAGCATTTTAAAATGATGAATTTTAATAAGTAGGATCCCGAGTTTGATACATCAGGACTTCACTAGGGACAGCAGCTTGGGAGGATTGAATACTTTGTGAATGTTTGGAAGAAACTTGGTAAGAGAAGTTTGACTCAAAGTTTGAATGGCCACAGCACAAGGAGACTCGAACCCCGTTCAAACGGATTGAAACATGAGGTAGTATTAACAGGTTCAGTTACTGTATATAGCTGGTGAGGATGTTGATTAGATAGAGGTGTGTGAGATTGACTTGTCATTGTTATCCCTCCTGAACTTCAGAAAAGTAACTTCTATTTAATGTGCCAAATATTCAAATGATTTACTTACCATTAAACTCTGTTCGAGAGTCAGAATGTGCTTCTGAACCTAATGGAAGAAAAATATTTTCTAGTTATATTCTAAAACACAACATTGACAATATTATTTAATTTATTTTTTGTTTTATAACATAGTTAAATTGAATTTTTCTTACCTTAGGACAACCAGGTATTATACAGATATCACATTTCAGAGATTGCATTAAATAAAATTATGATAATTTTCAAAGCCCTGGTCAAATTTTTTTTTCAGAAAAAGGAAATTTACCTGGTTGCTCTATCTGTAAACTTGTGCCAAAGACACTTCCAGCACCTTCAATAAAAGAAAAAAAATCTTTCATTATTATTAGGTGTCCGAGATGGAAAATCTCAGAACCCCAAAAAAAGTTTATTTTTTTCTTTCCAAGTGTCTAACTGGCCCCGGGCAAACATGTAACTGATGAAGTTCAAACTTGGTGGGTATATGGACACATTTTGAAATGTGAAACAATTGCAACATTTGTGTAATTGCATCTGCTGAAAGTAAGGCCCAGTGGCAACCAAGATGGTGGACAATTGGTGATGGTGTATTAATTTAATTAAAAGATTTTAACAATGCTTCAGATTTATTTACTCCTAAAAGGTTAATAAATCTTTTTTATTGTCACAGTGAGTCATGAAATTCTGGTTGATACATTGCAAGCGTATTCTTATAAATCACTGTATGCTGGCCAATTATCTACATTCCTGTTAGGTATCATTAATTTTATATATGGCAGTAAGTGGGGTTTCTGAGAGGCTATTTAGCTACCATTTAATTTTGCTCTCTTGTTCAACCAGCCACAAATCTGCTACCATTCAAAGATTGTTTGGCCAATTTCTAAATTTGTTAGATTATAAATTTTAGTGATCATATAATTAAAATATGGAAATAAGTTTCTGTATAAATCAAATTGGCCATGTACCATTTTATTCAGAGAATTCAAACTGTTTGTCGTTGAACACCCTGTAGCCAAACAACTTCAAAACTGGCTAAAATTTTTTCAGACATCATCCAAGCAGAACGAAATTGGAATTCAGAACTTGTATTCCTGGGTAACATGAAAGTGATCAGAATGATACATGCAGTATAAGTCAAAATGCTGCTGTGGAATTTTGTTTGGATGCTGTTAACCTACCTGCAATTCTAGTGATTCATTTTAGTAGTATGAATTTATATTTAGAGGAATTTGTTTTGCATTGTGGGCAAAATTGCCTTTTGCTTGCAGGGATAGGCTCTGGCTCCCTCCCAGACCATAGATTGGATGTTGAGGTTAGAAAATGGATAATAGATGTTTTGCATTATTTATGTGTCTTAAATGAACACTTTAAATTCCCAACACAACACTTTATAAAAGTGTTAATTATTAGCTATTGTTCGGATATTGCTACTAGGGAAAGCTATTTAAAGCATTGAAAATGTTAACCTCCGTGACAAAGAAAAAGAAAATGATTATTTAATTCACATTAGCTTCTCATTTTCTGCAGGTTAAGGTGTTAATTCCCAGAAATATCAATGAGTGCTGCTTCTAAATGTGTGACGTTTCCTGAAATTTGACATTTTTCAGCAAAGTGACATAAAAATATTTAAAATGTTGAAAATTTACATTTAAACAAGTTATTATTTTTTACTCATTCTAAGGCCATTTTTCTGCCCAAAATGCCACTTTCCTGCCAAATCAAAATGCAAAGTCAAGCACAACATTGTTCATAACTTACCATTTGCATCTACCTGAGAACTGCTTTGCTGATCTGTTACTAAAAAAAAAAAGTTTAGAAATAGATTTTTATGCTTTAAGCAACAGGATTCTAGTGAGATAATTGATTTGTGGCTATTTGTGGATAAAGTAGTCTATTTTCTAGAAAGATTCATTTTCTTCTGTCTGCTTCCCATCTTTTGTATTTTAGATTATTTTTCATCAAACTATTGTGTGTTCAAGTAAGCTCAAAAGGAACGGCATAAAATGTAGTTTAACTAAGTGCCAACTGAACTAAGAACTTGGAGCGTGTCAGAGTACAGTGAGAAAACAGTGACCTTCTCAGTTTTACAGAATGCGGTAAGGCTCAATTCCTTATTACCGTACCTGTGGGATCTCCATCAATGATGGTATCTGCAGTGTTCCCTTGTTGACCTCCAGAACCTACAATAATGATATTGTTAATGACCTGCGAAATACTACATACCCTTTCACATTTATTTGGACACACTTCCAGCAGAACTCCGATCTTATCACTTTACACTGACCGCAAAACTCTGAAACCCTGCAGAATGTTTCTGAATATTTGAAATGAATATTTCAGATGCCCGTTCTTGAGTTTAGTGGCTTTGTTTAATTAAAAATAATGTCAAAGCTTCAGTGGTATTTGGAGCTGATTTCTCAGCACAAAATGCACAGAATACATTCATTTTGAAATTACTGGGTTCCCACGTGAAACAAATGCTAAGATTTTAATGGCGGGAATAAAACAATGTTTTCAGATCTAGTCTCAACAAAATTCAACAGTATACAGACTGTGGGAAATGTAAAAAACAATTTTTATATTTCGCACCCATATTTTCACACGTTCTCTTAGGTAATAGGTAGAAACCCAAGGAGATATCAACATTCTTCTCAGAATAGGTTCCAGAAGGCTACACTGTGAAGTACCTGCTCTTTTTCTAAAACCAAATGAAAATACACGAAGAAATACGTCTTTTTCATAATCAACCAATTCCCCAGATTTCAAAATATTCAATTATTTTAGTTTATTATATTACCACCCATAACATCAATCTCACTCATTTGGAGATCATTATAAAGATGTATATGAAGATGGGGATGTTCAGCTTGATTTTGCGAGCATGTTAGCATGTTGAATATGTCTATAAAACTAAATGTTTGTTGAAAAAGTGCATTTTGGGGTCAGAGCCATACAGCACCTTTTGCAAGCAGCAGTGAATTCTGCTGTACCAAAAATGTGGCCGTTGACCATGGGAGAACAGAAACTGACTTTATGGGACGTATCTGATGGGTTCAAGGACTGAACAAACCCTGTTTCACACAGAAGAGTTGCTTTACCTGTGGAGTGTGCTTGTGAGCTTGAGCTTCCTTGTTCACCTGTAAAATGTATAAAACACTTGGATTCAGCATACATGTTTTTTAAGCAAACTACAGCCCTCCAGACAATTCAGTCCTGAATGCCACAGACATTCAAAATCTTTTTCTCTCGAATCAGTGTTACCTGTTTTCTCTTTTGTCCAGTAAGGTGCTTTGTATAATAATGTGACCAAGCTGGTCTTTCTGTTTATCCTACTAAGCCTTCTAAGCCTAAGTATCTTCTACTCTCATGATACATGTTAAGCCCTTTTCGTCACATCCCTTCCTTTTGTACATAGAATGTTCCAGAACACATTGCAGACCTGCCACTGCCTTCCATTGCAATGTTGAAGATCTATAGAACAGTTTCTCCTTCCTGACTTCCTCCCTAGTGTAATGAATACGCCCCTGCATATAACAGGGATCTCAGTCCCCCGGGCTGCGGGAGTTCTCCTTTAGCTCAGCTGGCTAGTTCCCTCTTGCGTGACGCCAGAGACCCGGGTTCGTGCCCCGGCAGTGAGGGACGAGCTGCCAGGGCTGGAGGGGCAAGGGCGGAAACCCCAAGAAGCGTTACGCTAGCAACGTGTTAGAGCCATCCATCCTCCACTTCTTCCAACTCAGTGTCGGGGTGGAGCTGGAGCCTATCCCAGCAAGCAAGGGGCCCACGGCAGGGTACACCCTGGACAGGATGCCAGTCCATTGCAGGGTAGACAGATGAAAACTCAGGACCACACACAGTCACACCAGGGGCAATTTTCGCAGAAGCCAATTAACCTACCAGTATGCTTTTGAACTGGAGGAAACCGGGGCACCAGGTGAAAATCCACATGAACGCAATGAGAACATACAAACTCCTCACTGATAGCACCCCAGGAATTGAACCCAGGGCCCCAGTGCTGCAAAGCAGCAATGCTAACCACTGCACTTTGTCAGCTGATATGTTAGAACCATGCACATATTATGAACTTTCCAATCATTTACTTGCATTGTTAGATCCATTGAAATGCCTGCATGTTGTGTTTGCTAAATGTCTTGAAGACAGGGATCTGTCAAGTACAACCTTTAAAATGTACCTCTTGTACACATTTTCTTATCTCTTTCAGTCTCAGACGTAATTAGTTTGAATTGCATTGCTTTGAAGGGGCTTTTAATTTACCTAATATTGTTATTTTGAAAGAAATTATCTAATTTTGAATATGAACATTCAATATAAAAATAGATAAGTCACTTTTCAGATAATGGGAACAAAATTCCTAATCAATTCTGATAGAGAAATAAAATGCACAAATAACTTATTTCAAGTTTGGCTGAAATTCATGATGAATCCAGAATTTATTGCCATTTTTAGTTTTAAATCTATAGGAACGTCAAGCCGAATTTTTAAAATGTTGCATTCTCGCCATTTTCATTTTCAGTTTAAAATGAACAGTGAGTAAACACCTGTTGCGGCTGTTTCAGTGCTTGAACCTGTCTGGATGCCAATATCTAAAATAAAAAAAGACAAATATCACTGATTGTACAAAATAGTGGAAAAGGGGCAATTCAGAATCAAGCCAACACAAATCACACAATGAAAAGAAGCCTCTCACCGTGAGAACTGAGGTCATAGGGCCTGTCAGTCTGGACTCCAACGTTGCTATCTGTATTGCAAACATGTCTCTTTCATGCTTTTTACAAGACGAAAAAAGAATGATTTGGGCTCCAACTGAGAGAATAAATAGTGGTGTTCCACACTTACGAGAAATGGTGTTTAGTTTAGCCAACAGTTATATCACCCTGCAACTCACAACTAGCAACCCTGAAGCTAAGCAGGTGTGAGCCTGGTCACACCCTGGCTGGGAGACCTGCTAGGAAAGGTAAGGTTGCTACTGGAAGAAGTGTTAGTGGGGCCAGTAGAAGGCACTCTCCCTGTGGCCTGTGTGGGTCCTAAAGCCCCAGTACAGTGATGGGGACACTATACTGTAAAACTATAATGTAAAACTAAAGTCTTGACTCTCTGTGGTTATTAAAATACCCAGGGTGTTTCTCTGGGTATTACCCTGGCATCCTGGCCAAATTTCTCCCTGGCCCTTACCAATTGTGACCTCCATAATAATCCCCATCTATGAACTGGCTTCATTACTCTGTTCTCCTCCTCACTAGTAGTAGTGAGTGCACTAGCGCAATTTGTCTGGTATCACTTCATCCAGGCGGGGCTGCACATTGGTGGCAGTGGAGGGGAGTCCCCATTACCTGTAAAGCGCTTTGATCGGAGTGTCCAGAAAAAGTGCTATGTAAGTGTAAGGAATTATTAATTATTATTAGCTAACTAAAAGTTCGGAAAGAGGTCAGATTCTAACCTTTCGCTTCCTTACTCATAAAAGCTCGCTGGCTGAACACGAGGTGCAGAGCACAGCCTTTACAGCACCTTTCCCTCCACCCCAGCTTCACCGCTGCAGCGATTTCTCCCTGGCTCATACTGTCTTCTCGGAGAATGACAGCAGCCGAAGACTGTGAGACTTTGGCTTAACCCGCCTGGCCGTAGGATGGAAAGGCTGTGACCTCCATGCTTGGTGAAAAAAGGCTGTCGAGGCGTAATTAATTAATTTGGCTGCCTTCATGCCTCCCAGACTTTCGCAAAGGATGTGAGAGCGCTGATCTCCGACCAGCACTGTTATTTCTCAGCCAGGCGACATAAACCTAAAGTATTAAGTATGCTATCCTTTTATGCTCGTTGGCATGTTTCGTCATTAGAAGTTGACCAAACTATTGAAAGAATTTACTAGAAAGAATTTGACAACATAAAGAATGAGTTTACTGCTATTTTGGTATTCACGTATGCAGAAAACATAAATACTACACAAGATCCTCTTTGAGAGACATTGTGACGAATGCCAGACCAATGCTTCAGTATTACTGATGGAAAAAGTCAACTTTCACTCACCCTTAGTTCCTGCCTCTCCAGAGGTACTGCTTGATGCTACGTAAAAGTGAAGATTTAATTAATGTCTACATAAAATGAAATAATCGTACGACAATAATGATTATCGTGTTTTGAGTTAATTACAGTGTTTACTTGAAATAAGATTAGTAGTTTGGCTAAAATGATTAGAATTACACTTACTGTTGGGATCAGTCTGTGTGGCGCTGCCACTGCTCTGCTTCTTTCCTGTGGCGATGGCAAAACAACAATGCAATGCGGTGAAAAAGTAAAAACTAATTTTGCAGAATGGATTATACAGTTTTTAATTCAATTAAAATGTATTCATGTTGACAAGGCAGCGCAGATGGACTGCACATACAGTACTATAGAAATGGTCAATTGGAAATCTGGAGGCAAATGAGAGTTGTATAACTTACCATTAGGATCTGTTTCAGAACTGTCCTGTTGACTTCCTGTACCTTGAACAAGACCAATGTTTCATTCAGAAGCCATTAATTGACAATTCACTTGCACACAGCTTTAATATGAAATGGCTATGAAGGGTTCTCAAGTTTCATCGTCTAGTAGATATGTACTTCAAGTGTACAGAGTTTGCCTATCCATTAGGTTTGAAGAAAAATGCTGCAAAACTGTCAATGCTCTTAATTAAAACATTGAACAGTTTGCTCCCTCAGTGCAACCCACAACCCTGTGTTAGAGCTAACGAGTGTGTTGTTTCTCATTTATGGAATTCTCAATGTTTTATTTAAATTTCTATGTTCTATGTACAGAAAAAAGTCTTTCGTTAGTGGTTAATAAAGAAATGTAACCAGAGTACACCGAACGCTAAACATGTTGTTCAAAACGTCCTGTGCATGACACTGAGATAATACCAGAACAGAATATCCCCAATACCTGAGAAGGATAGATACTATATTATCCGCTACTGTGAAAATGTATCTTTGGCGTCTCCCATAAAAGTACAAAACACACAAGCAAAAGATAAAAGTTACATAAAATCACATGATGTACATGAAATCACAACAGTATGTGATACATATAGTGAGGAGAGTACATTTACATACATTCATCGAGCAGGTTTACTGTAGAGGGGACAAATGATTTCTTATAAATCTTTTTATTTGAATTTGGTACCCCAAACCAAGGGATGAAGAAGAGAAATGTGAAATTACTTGAACAATAGAATTCTATTCCTCCATTTTCAAACCACTTTATTTGGGTGCAGCACAGGATACACTCGGTACAGGACTCTAGTCCATCACAGGGCAGAGACAGACATAAACACACCCACTCACCACGCGGGCTAATTTTCGCAGAAACCAATTAACCTACCATAAGTCTTTGCATACCTGGAGGAAACCTATGCAAACGCAAAGAGAACATACAAACTCTGTGCACAAAGCACTCCAGGAATTGAACCCAGGGCCCCAGCAATAGTGGCATTAAGTGGGAAATTTCAGTTGATCAGATTGAGCAAAACCTAAATTCTGGACACATGTACAGTACTCTGTGCAGCACTGAGCAAGCTATGACCTCAGGAGCAGTGGCACTGTGGATCTATGCCTGTGGATGGAAGGTTGCCAGTTCAACTTAACCCCAGCTGCTCCAGAGGTGCTGAATAAATGGTTGACCCTGTGCTCTGACCCCAAGCTTCCCTCCCCACCTGTGTGTCTCATAGAGAGCAAGTGAAAAGACAAGTTCCTAATGCAAAAAATTGTATATGACTAATAAAGTGATCTTAGTTAAACACCTGTTCAGAAGAATACATAGGAGTACTTCATTTCATACGAGTGAGCAGGAATAGCTTTCTCTTACCTTTATCTTTCGATGTAGGGGTAGTCTTCTGAGTTCCAGTTCCTTAAAAAACAAAACCACAACAACTAGGTTCACATTCAACCAAATAACTAATAATGGCAAAGCATTTGGGTAAAAAAGAAGTAGGTACCAAAGTTCACAAGAAAAGCACTAACTAGGCTTTGTCTCACCTGTTTCTAAACACTGCAGATTTGTTCACTGTATTAATAGATAGAAACTATAGAAATCAAAACTGAAGACTGGTAATAAGACAGCTATTGTTATGGAGAGGTTGTAAAATATACTGGATATGTTCTTCATTAAGGTTGTTCTCATGTGAGTACCTGGCACTACTGAAACACCCATTTCTTCAGTACAGTACATTTTTGTTTGGAACCAATGCATGAATATTGTGCCTTGAAAATAGATTTTATGCACAACGCATGAAATGCAACAACAGAGATGTTCCTTTGCTTTTCGTATATGAGATAACATGAGTATTGAATTTAACTAACACTATAATGCTAATGATGTCAATCTCTTTGCACTAGCGATTCCAAAACAGACTTCACTGATTTCACAGTTAGCAGAAAAATGTTCTCATTTAATGAAGTTCTAGACTGAATTGAATTAAATCTAAGTCAGCATGATGGGAGAGGTGGTTAGTGTGGCTTCTGGGTTGTGAATTCAATACCACACTGGACTGGAGCACCGTCTGTGTGGAACTCTCATGTTCTCCTGTGTGCATTTGGGTTTTCTCCTGGTACACCTGTTCTCACCCAAAGACGTGGTTGTTAGGATCTTGTGTCTCTATTTGAATATGTGGCCTGCAATATTCTGTATTGCGCCTTATGTTCCTGGGATATTTTCTGAATTGTTGCAACCTTTATCAGGAACAAGCAGCTTTCTGATAACAGATGGATGATTCCCAATGTATAATATCCTAAAACCCTCACAATGCCACCTACACCAAGGAGATAACCTGTCTCTTCTTCCAGTACACTGTTTCGATTGACCTTTAGAGATACGACCGTATTATTTTGCACAATACTGTTACCTACAGTATATGTCCTTATAAACCCCCGTTCGATGTCTGCAAACAGTACATATATTCTGCAGTTACAAACCTTCCAATCAAAAATATGTCTGGTATGACTAAATCAAAAATGATGAAAGTAGATGCCATCAAATTATAAAAAAAGACAAACTTTCTAGAAACTTGTTCAGTATTTGGCAGCAACAAACCAGCATTTATGAGTTAAGCTCTTTTGTGTTTTCTTTGCATTTTACGTGTTCAGCTGATGGGTTAAGCACTTGGCCATGGAAGGGGGTATCTTGACAGCTCATTGACCTAAAGAGGAGGCCATGCCAAGGGAGGTTGAAGATGCAAAGATGAATCAGCAAATTGGGAGACAATTGTTGTTTAGAAAGTTATTGCGTAGTAATCATGAAATGTTCAGGACTTAAATTATTTGTTATTCTTCTTTCTGTACTTCAGCTATGATTTTTTTTTTAAATGGACTTCAAACATTTTGTTTCTGTAAATGAACATTTTTTTAGTTGGCGGTGTCAATTTGAAAAGGATTCTGTTCAACTAGTTCGAATGTTCACATAACAAAACGCTCTCCGCCTAACTCATTGTGGTGGTAAGTTATTAACTTCTCACCCATATTCATATCCTGACTTTTGGTGTCATCATCATCTGAAAAGAAAAGGAAAATGATACAGTTGATAAAAACTGTTCACATTTTTCCTTCTTTCTGAAAAATGACTATTACAGGTGTTGGGAGGCCTGCTTTATCAGTCTGTTCAACTGGAGGGCTGAGAATATAATATTAATTTGATCAAATTTAAGTACAATTTCAAACATCCTTATTTTATATTTCAGTTTAGTCATTTGCTTTCATTTCCCATTTTTAAGGTCAATTGGGAAGCCATTTGGATATGTACTGTAGATGTGTTAGTTTATAGCCTGTTTATAGTTAGATTTTCCCTGTTGATTTCTGGTTTTGATATCAGAAGAGCCGGCCCTCCAGGCCCAAGACTGGACAGCCCTGATTGAAAATATGCCAGACATTTGTTAACGTGTGTATAACACTACCACTCAGAGGCCTTGCAAAAGTGTGCTTGAAATCGATCCCTTTGGGAAATTCACAGTTTGTTTACAGGATGATGCTTTGTTTTTCTTCAGAATATCATACCTTCCTCTTCCTCTGAAAGTGCCTCAGTTTCTTCTACCTCTTCGATTTCAACTTCTTCGGTCTCTTTTTCTATAAACAAGGCATCGGTGCGAAAAAGATGAGCAATTATTCCTTAGCATTATTTTTAAGAATACAGGGCATTTATATTAATTTTGGCACCAGTGTCTGATTTGGATTTGTCATGTGCTTAATATCTGTTCTTCAGAAAAGATTCGACACAAGGCAGCAACACATGATTTCTATGCAGTTCATCCTCTGAACCTCTGATCTCTATTGACTGATTCGTTTTAATTGTGTTGCTGCTCTTTAGGCACAAAGAAAAGCATTCAGTGACTAACGTTAAATTTTACTTACATTTTGCTTTATACCACAGATCGATTTGGGAGATTAACTGTTGTTCAGTAAAAGGTAAGAGTGCATACTAGAGCCACAGTGTTTCATGAGGTCAGAGCTCAGAGTATCAGTATCCAGAGCACAAGACATCCCCCCCAGAAGGACACTGGCCCATCGCAGGTATAACCCACCAGCAATGGTCACTGCTCACTCCTATACAGCTTTGTGGACTGACATAACTATGGTAAAGTACCTCACTCAAGATATAACAGCAGGTTTAACAGCAGGTATAATGGCAGGGTCTGCAGAGAGGACATTGACTGGTATTTTATGATAAATAAATGGTTTGGAACATTGGAACAATGGCTTACCTTCTACAGGAGCAGTTGCAACCACAGCCGCAAGTATTAGCAGAGAAGAACATATTAAAAGATTTCTACAAAGAACAGTGCAGAAATAAAAAAAGATAATAAAACATCCATTTTGCAAGGGAACAATATAAGTGACATCTCCAAAGTCCTTCTGTTTGCGACTTGTGAAGTGTTACACGTCTCTAATATTTAACTGGATGAAATCCCAGAAGTAGGAAATATAATTTAAATTACAAACAAAAACATAGTATAAATTTACTAGTAGTAGCATTAGGTAGAGCAAAAGGAGTATGTATGCCACTATAACCAATATTCTCCTATCACTTTTACTCATTTAAAAGCCATTATTGTGTCCTAGTATCTATTTTGTAGTGATCTGAATTAAAGATCACCACAAAATAGAATTAAAATTCAACCAAAGCACAGTAGGACATTCATGCATTACTAACAAGATAATATCTTAAATACGTAGTTATTTAGATCAATACAATTATTTATGTTATTATTAAAATAACAAACTAAATTATCATTAAAATAATAACTCTAGTTTGATGGTTTTTGAAAGTACTTTTGCATACATAGATATCCCTTCTATGAGAAAAAGTTTATTCTTATATTTCACTGATGCTTTTTTGATGATCAAATGGAACTAGTGCTCAAATAAGTCAATTATATAACATATTATATAACTATATAACACTGCAAAAATATGTAATGCAGAGTGGAATAAAGAACAGAAGTTAACACCATAATTTAGTTAATAATTTAGAATAACCATAGAAAAATAAATTTAAGAAATTATAATTCTAGGAAACATCCTTGGTTCACAGAAACTAAAAAAGCAGTAAAAGTCTGTTAAAGCAATCCAATTATATTCCAACTCAATTTATGAATGGAAGGTGTTTTGGACATGTGACAATCGTTTCAAAATCAGAATAAGAACTATTCAAATCTAAGTAAGAATCAATATATAATTTTGGGACATTTGAAAATCTTCTATTGATGACATCCATGCTATACAACCACACTACAAAGGTGTGTGTTCTGATGTGTGTTTTACATTAACATGAAATTGTGAGACATGTAATTCTAATTCTGCTTCTCTTCTTAATTACTGCAGTTAATTGTGGATTTAAATGTCTCTTGGCACAATGGATACACTGTTTACAAAAAGTTATTTATTTTAAAGAATGCTTTATTCATTTATTCATACAAAAATAGACATCAATGTGGAAAGATGCAGCATATGCATAATTCGTGTAATTTAGAAACGAATTTAAATTAAAAATTGGTTAAATTATTCAAACTATTTACTGTGTCCAACTGCATGAAAACATAAAAAGAAATTTCTTGTCACATTTCTTGGAAACTAGCATAAAACAACTAAAATTGTTTTTTGTGATATATTGATATAAGATAGATAAGAATTTATTAATCCCGTAGGGAAATAAACACATGTAGGAAGTGAAAATGCAGATTTAAACAACAACAATCTGCCCTCATATGAAAAAATCTAAACTTTGTACTGAACATAAGAGCAATGTCCCACATAAAGACCTCTGATTTGAAGTGTTGGATCACAAATTTTGTAATACATGATCTTAAGATGCCCAAAGCATTTGAAAAACACATACAGGCAACCCCCCCTAAAAAATCCCTAAAAAAGTCTCACCTATACCAACGTGTGACTGAATAAAACAGAAATATAATCCCTTTTCTCCACTTAAATTTAATGTGTGTGCTTGGAAAGCCAAAGGGCATATACATTTTCATCTGGTAACAGATAACACACTATTTAGAGATGCTGCTTTGTTCACTTACCGGCACAACATCTTTTCAGTGAAGACAGATATCACAGGAACAAAGAAAGGGCAGGTAACACACAAGCTTTTGACTTGACTTCCCTGTGCCTGACTGGGTATCTCCAAATGTTTTATACCCTTTCAGCTCCCTTTCTCCAGAAGGGGCAGGGCTTGAGTGATAACCCCAGCCCCTAGGACCAAAGTGGCTCCCCCAGCTTACTTTAATTAAAATACAATAAAACAAAAAGGCTGTTCTGGGGGAACTTATAAGGAAGCGTGTTTTATATTGAGCTAGAATAACTGACTACATACTGTATTTACTTCTAAGAAAATTTTAAGAAAGAAAATGTATTTTAAGTTGCTCCATCAGCTCTCATTTTTATAAGCTTTTGTGTCTTTGACTCCAAATCACATTTCATGTCTTTTCTTGTCCGAGTTTATGACAAACTCCAGACAACTGTGATGCAGTCCGGACCAGGGTTTGAGTTAAACATTTTAGCTGAGCGGCCAGATGAGGGCACAGCCATCCTTCTTGTGAAATGAGAAGACCATGTTTTAGCAATAGAGGGAAAAAGCATCTTAGAAACACGCCCCACTGAGGCTCTCTCATGTCTTACACAATGGAGGCTAAGACTCCCAGAATCAAGTCTGATTTTGAGTTTCATCCAGCTTCCCCTAAAGATGTTGACTAAAGGTGAAATAGCACCAAGTGAAATGAATCCAAACAGCAAGTGGATTTGTGCATTAAAGCCATTTGCTATTTTCTGAAACATCCAGTTCTTTAAGTGTGATTCTGAATACTGCTTTTGTTTTCTTCAGTCATTTCTATATTTTTTGCAGAAAGCACATTTAATGTTTTCTTAGTGTCTGTTATGCAGCTTCTTCAGTTGCATTTCAAATTGCTCGACTTAAACTTTGGTAAAATGGAACTACAATAACTCGGAGAAACCATTATGCACATTAATGCTGTATTTTAAATGTTATGCTTGTGTGTATGTATGTCCAAAAGTTGAGCTTTACAGTTTTAAATACATTATTGACAATATTCATTCAATCCATTTGATTGTACAACTGTGTTTCTATTCAAACATAAGAACTTCTTTAGAAAGAGCCATGATTATGAAAGTATTAATCAAACCCAATATTCTATGGCATTTAGAACAGCACACAATACAGTCTAAGGTGTATTCTGTAAAATAAGTTTTAAGTTTGACAGTACAAAACCGCATCAAATCCATTCACTTGAGCAAATAAAGCTCTGGCATTCCTATTTAGATCAGGTTAATGAGTATTTGTTGATGACATGCTCGTTTTATGCAGACATTAATATAGTCATGTACGGAGACTGTTCATTGTTTAATGAATAGTCACTAATGAGTTTGGATAAACGTCTCACATAACATAAGCAATTGCTTCTAAAGGAGACAGGCCCTGATTGTTGCCCTGTGAAATGTAAGACTATCATTTCTGGGTTAATTATATATTACCCAGTGTCTCCGCTAAATCTGCAATCCACTGTGATATTGACGTATTTTATGTCAAAGGTTAAGATGCCACTTTATTTGCCTCTTTTAATTCAACCCTGCATGACATCTCTCCATCGGCAGTCTTTTCACGTTCCATTATTTTTAAGGAATGGTGGATGTGGATAGACATGAAGGCCTATCAAAACATTTTTAACTTTTAAAATGAGGACAATGTTCGATAGCACCTGTTCATCTACCGTTTTTAATTCAAAGGCAGGATGTTTAAGAACTGAACACTGAAAAGTCTACAGGCAGTATCTTAAACACATACCTGTATGCTCATTTGGTTTTCTTTAAGCAATGTCTGGGAAACCTCAACTGTGACCAAAACACTGGATAATACAAAAGATTAGTTTAGGGTTAAGAAGTTTTAAGAGAAACAAAGGACTTATTCAATCTAAGACTGAATTACCATCTAACACTTTAATTTTAAATATAACTGGTCACCTTGTCATTTTTACTGTACATTACCACAATAAAGGATTAAAGTTAATGGAATTCTGTAGTGTGTTATAATCTGCACGAAAAAGTGGAGGTTCTGGGCTCCACTGCAAAATAACATTTGTATATTTGTATATTTGAGGTCGTAATTTTTAGGGGGGGAGACAATCAATTTCATGAAGAACAAATTAATTCAATACAACCCAGAGTGAAAATGTCAAGCTTGTTGTATTTTTTTTGTGAATTGCTGGAAATTAAAGTGTATATTGATCATGTACTGTATGTGTGAGGGAGACAAGTTACTGATTTAGACCTTACTACTAAAGCTTCCAAAAAATTACTAGACTAGGTTTTCATTGGCTTTTTATCTGTTGCTTTGTATGTTAATATAGTAGAATGAAAAATACTTTGTGCACAATCCAAGAAACTGCTGGAATACACATTAAACCTGAATTGACTGGTACTAAAACGGGCACAATCTCTTGGCAGCTAAAAGCCAAGCAGGGGTCTGATTATCTACAATAAATATAATCAGAAGGGAAAAAAAATCAAAAATAGCCATAAACAGAAATTACAATACCTTTTGCAACAGTTCTAATACAGTATATAGGCTAAAACTTAAAAATAAGTAATAGAATAAACTGTCAATAACAGAACAAATAGTACACATATTAACTCATGAATATTGAGACAAGACAGTATAACTGCCCACTTCTATCTTTAGTTTAGTACCAGTTTAGTTTAGTCATCTGCACCAAATCCATTATTGGTCACGTCACGTCATGTCATTTACCAAACCCCTTTATACCATACGCTGTCGCGGGAAGCTGGAGCCTACCCAGCAAGCAACGAGTGCAAGGCAGGGTACACCCTGGAGGGGACACCAGTCCATCGCAGGGCAAGTGCAAGCCCATCATACATGGGGACAATCTGGAGGCCACGGTAAAGGCCGAAGAGGGAAATTTGGCCCGGACACCGGGATAACTCCCCACTCTTATCGAGAAATGCCTGGGGATCTTTAATGACCACTGAGAGTCAGGGCCTCAGTTTAACGTCTTATCCAAAAGATGGATCCATTATTGGTGACAAATTTAAATTTCAGCAATAGTTCTGTTAAACCGGCAATACACACAACCCCCCCTCTTCAGAACTAAATAAAACATTTCAAAACAAGGGCATTGCTGCTGGTACTTATCTGTAGATACCACTACTTCTACAATCACAGCTACAACAAGTAATACAAAGTTTGACATTTTTAGAATTGATATTAAAAATAGCTTGATACAAAGATGATGAAGCAAATGTTTTGGAACCCAATATGAGGCATCCTGCAGTGTATTTTTTCCCAAATTAAAATAGTTTGCAAGACAACTTACAGTAGCAATTTTCTCTCATTTTAAATCAAGACCATTATCATATGCTAAGAGATTACTGTACATTGACATGACTGAACTCAGTCATGTGACTGTGGGGTCACATCTAACCAATGTTGTCATTTCAGGTATTCTTTAATCCTTTATTATCCTGCTGTGAATGTTGTTCTAATATGACTGGTTCCCTTGTTGTCTAAATGAAAAGCACTAATATTTTAATTGTAGTTGTGAATTAACAACTATGACTTCCAAGGCTGTACATTTAAGAAATAGGGATGGCGCATAGGAAAAGAAGCATTTGTTGATGGTCACCTTTGAGATGTTACTTTGACAAAAATGTTTGACAGAGCAGGCTATTTGGGGCTTATAGTAGAAAATCTTAACTCTCCCACTTTAGAGGTTAAAGAACAATGAATGTCTTCAAATTGATCATCTCCACAGACGTTTAAATTGCAGATAAAACCTCCAGTCGTCTCTAGTAGGCCACCAAAGCTAAAGTTAACATGCAGTATCTGTTTTTTTCTTTTTTTTTTTACTTTTAATTAGAGAGTCAGATCATTTTGGATAACCAGGAAATGGAAAACATTTCCACAACATCCACAGCATGTATCGCAACCTTGACCCTTTCGTGGAATGAAAGGGGTATAAAAGGGTATATATTTTCTGAAGATCGCCTATAGCAACACAGATATCTGTTTCACAAATACTCATGTGCAACGGCCCTATCCAGCCTCTAAATCCTGTAGAGGAAATGGCCTTTAGGATTCCAGAGAAGTAGGCATTTAACGCGACCTGTACAATGCAGTGTCCATATCGAAACTACTGTGTTAATGGAAAATACATATAGAAAGGGTGTATTCTTACTTCTGGGTTCTTGGACCTCTCTGCCAAGTTTCCTCTTAGCTAGCTCCATGTTACATATCCTGCTGGCTCAGGTGCATCAGCTCATCTGAAGGCCAGACAATGAGTACTTGTTATCAAGCGAAACCATAGCAGCATAATCAGCCTTGGGTGACGAGTTTAGAAGATCAATCAAATTGATCCCCTATCACTGCAGGATATACAGACCCAATCTTACTAAATTCCTAAGGCTGCTGCCCCACTATCATGTTGTCAGATTACGTCTTATGAAAAGGCTTCTCTTTGAGCTCTTATGTACTTTACTTACGGATAAGCAAAGCTCAGTCCTCACTTGAAATCAAGTTTGGATTTAAGGGCATAAAATGCACAACACACTTCCATTTTAATTGATGTCATGACACCTCTGTTGTCTAACAAACAGAATAAATTAGCTATTTCAATCCAAAGAATTCAACAGCCCACTGCAAAATAATGATCATTGCTTAACAACCTTAGTATTTATGCAGTATATTAAAGACATTGTGTCAAAAGCAAACAAGACATCTATTTCTGTGAGACAAATCTTGTAACACCAGCTTCTATGCATGTATTATCCAGTTTCTGAAAGGAAAAATAGAACATCTGGATTCCTAAGGCTGTCGTCTCAATTGTACATTATTATTTTAGATGACAGCAAAAAGTCTAACAGACTGAACCAGACTGATTAAATTTTACAAAGTCATTTTTTAACTATCCTGTTAATCTAGTCAGCAGATCCCCAGTAGAAACCAGAGCAGCTCGAGAAAACCTGTATGTGGAACCAATTCTAGCTTTCAAGCCACTAAGTTACCAATTAGCAGCATTATTATTTCTAATGACAATATTTCAGCTGGATTTTATGTTTAAC